GTAAGGAGGCATTTAGTTTCATGGATGTCTGTACAGTATTATTATTTTTTTAATTAATGGTGTAATTTTTATGTTCTAAACATTGTACGTTGTCTCATTGTTGTGGGATAACCAGCCTCATATAAACAACATAGGTAAAGGTAAAGGGACCCCTGATCATTAGGTCCAGTCGTGACCGACTCTGGGGTTGTGGCGCTCATCTCGCTTTATTGACCGAGGGAGCCAGCATACAGCTTCCGGGTCATGAGGCCAGCATGACTAAGCCGCTTCTGGCAAACCAGAGCAGCACACGGGAACGCCGTTTACCTTCCCGCCGGAGCGGTAGCTATTTATCTACTTGCACTTTGACGTGCTTTTGAACTGCTAGGTTGGCAGGAGCAGGGACTGAGCAAAAGGAGCTCACCCCGTCGCGGGGATTCGAACCGCTGACCTTCTGATCGGCAAGTCCTAGGCTCTGTGGTTTAACCCACAGTGCCATCTGTGTCCCATAACCAACATAAAAGGTAAAGGTAAAGGTACCCCTGCCCGTACGGGCCAGTCTTGACAGACTCTAGGGTTGTGCGCCCATCTCACTCTATAGGCCGGGGGCCAGCGCTGTCCGCAGACACTTCCGGGTCACGTGGCCAGCGTGACAAGCTGCATCTGGCGAGCCAGCGCAGCACACGGAACGCCGTTTACCTTCCCGCTGGTAAGCGGTCCCTATTTATCTACTTGCACCCGGGGGTGCTTTCGAACTGCTAGGTTGGCAGGCGCTGGGACCGAGCAACGGGAGCGCACCCCGCCGCGGGGATTCGAACCGCCGACCTTTCGATCGGCAAGTCCTAGGTGCTGAGGCTTTAACCCACAGCGCCACCCGCGTCCCTATAACCAACATACTTAAGTCTAATTAATGCATGAATTGGTTAATACTACAGAGTAAGCTGTCCTGCCAGGCTTAGCTATGTCACTTCCTTTACCTTGGGAACAAACAGGTAAGCAGTCCTATTGTCCCCCACCCCCAGTCTACCTGAGAAACCCAGCTGATTTCAGCTGATTGCTCTAGCTCAACCACATGGCTCTCACCAGCCACTCTTGTGTTTTGACCTATACCAATAAATTAAGAATGTTTACCACTTTGTAACAAAGCTAAGTTTTCCAGTTTCTGCAACTTTCTGACAGGTGTATGCAGTGCTATTCTTATAGAAAAAGAGCTGCCGGAATTCACCATGAACACCTTCCTCATTAACTTAAGAGTAGCAATGGCGCCTACCTGAGAGGTGCGAGAACTGAGCACTTTCATCAAAATAAAATAAAGAATTCTAATTGTTGGAACACCCTTTAGCCATTTCTTGGAATCTTTCTTAGTCACAAACAATTGAAATGTGCCTTTCATTTTGCTTTCAGTTTTTAATGCTGATGTCTTCTCCCCCCCCCTTTTTTTTATTTTTTTACCATCAACCAAAACACAAACAGTGAAATCTCCCAGGCGGCTGATACATTGCATATACATAATCAATAATAACATATAATCAACCATATGTACAATTTTATATATGTTAACGCTCCTTCATCCACAAGGTTTATTTAACTTTTAACATTTTAATTGCCCCAAATTGTTCAAACCTACCCAAATAATTCATTATCTTCTCAAACCAATCCTCCTCTTTCTCACTGACCTTAAACCCTTTCATTCTGTGGATCTTCACAGTTAGATATTCTAAAATTATAATATTATCCAGTTTTTTCCTCCATTGGTTCACCCCTAGCTCTTCTGCATTTTTCCAATTACTCACTATAACCTGTCTGGCTGCAGTTACCATCAATTTTACTCATTTACATTCCTCTTTTGTTTTTAACTCGGTGCTACTCAGACTAATAAGAACCATTAATTTAGATATTCCCACCTTCCTACCCACAATTCCCGATATTTCTATACCAAACTGCTTCCAAAATTCATTAACTAATGGACAATCCCACCACATATGACTGTATATTCCCATCACTCCACATTTCCTCCAACAATTCTTATTTCCAGATTTTGTAATATAATATAACTCCTGCCAACCTAGCAGTTCGAAAGCACATCGAAGTGCAAGTAGATAAATAGGTACCGCTCTGGCAGGAAGGTAAACGGCGTTTCCGTGCGCTGCTCTGGTTTGCCAGAAGCGGCTTAGTCATGCTGGCCTCATGACCCGGAAGCTGTACACTCGGCCAATAAAGCGAGATGAGCGCCGCAACCCCAGAGTCATCCGCAACTGGACCTAATGGTCGGGGGTTTCTTTACCTTTACTTATAACCTTATAGGTGTATAATATCATTTTTGTACCAACTTCAACCCGTTCCTGGATTATCCTAGACGGTTGCAACAAAGGGTGGTTGCCGAAAGATTCTTTCCCATTCTTCATCTAAAATCTGTTCCTGAATTTCTAACTTCCAGTATTCTTTCAAACTTTCCTTTGGTGATTTCTCCTTGTCTAATAACACCTTATACAATTTTGAAACTATTTTGGCCCTGTCTGTCTTATATCCTTTCACTAATTCTTCGAAGGGTGTAATAATTCTTCTACCACATTTTTTAACTTCTTCTGTGATAATCTCTTCTTAATCCAGAAGTTAACTCTTACTCCAGATGCAAATTTCAACCAGCGGACATATCACCACAGTCATGATTTATAACAGTCTCAAAAGTAATTGGAGAAAGGAAGGCTTTGCCGCTTTGAATAAACATTCACAAACTTTTTATTGATAATAATCAGCTAAATAGTTTGAGGATCTATACAACTGTGTAACATGCAGAAAACAGCTTTTTAGAGAAATCAAAGACTGGAACTGAGGGAGCCGGGGGGTGGGGTGGGGTTCTGTGGGGGGAGGGAGGAAAAATGGGGGGGAAATAAGGATATGTTTCTGGATAATATGTTTTGTTTTAATTTTGAATAAAAAAGTTATTAAAAAAAAGAGAAAGGAAGGCTTTGTTGACCATATACCCTAAGGGCTGACATTAAGGACTATTATGTGTTTGGGCAACAGGAAGATTCCTTGGCTCTATGTCACTCGCCCCCATTGGGTTCCCCAAAGCTTCTTGGTCTCCCAGCACGGAAAGCCACTTTTTCAGAGCATCAGAGCTTGATCTCTTGTTCCCTCTGCTTTTCCAGAGCAAATATGATTGCCAAGATTTATGGCTTGGCTATCATTAATCATGACATAATTATCTCTGTCAACAACCTGTTGACAGGTGTCTAGTCCACCATCTTTCTTTCCAAATGTGTGTAAGGAACTTTGAATGGGGAAATATTGAAATTCACTTAGAAGGGCATATTGTAAAGCCCTAACAGTTTATAATTCCATGCTTCACTTTGCTGCATATTTTGACTCTTTCAATCTTTGTTGGGGTTCTCTCACCAAAAAGCACTTGCCCCAAACTTGGACCTTAGCACCCGGTAATTCACACACACACACCAACAGCTATTTCATAACATGGCACTATAGCACTACAGAAATACTTTAATATAAAATGAGTTGTCTGAGAAATAAATGAAAATGGCTAGTCTTATTCAGGTAAGAGTGTGCAAACAGAACTGATTGCTTTGAGGAAAATAAAAATGACCGTTTCCTTTATATATTGATACAATAAAGCCCACGAACACTTAACTCCATATACTTTGATGGGAATACTTTGTTATTTATTTTATTTAGCCAGTTTAATTTTAAAAAACTTTTCTTTATTTTTCTTATGGATATGATTGTCGTGTGTAGTTTTTGTTTGTTTCTGTATGATTGAAATATCCAGCAAAACACACTTAATAAATAAATAAAACAAGCATGCAGTGTTCTGTATTTATAATATTTCTGGCCTATCAGGAATGCCCATACCCTTTGGAAATGATACAAATGCAAATTGTTGTTGTTGTTAATAAAAAACATTAGTAATAACAACTGGAAATAATAATATCAATCAGTTTGTAAGCTTTTAGGAGAAGAATATATGTGCTGTGTTCTGCATTTACAATATGTATGATCGAGCCAGGAATGCTGACTCCTTTGGACATGATTCAAATGCAAAACAGTAAATAATATCAGTAATAATATCAGTAATAATAGTACTATTAACAATATTTTCTACCAGCCTTAAGTCTTCAGGAATCAATAAATATTATGTGTTTTGGATTTAATATATCACCGGCCAGCCAGGAATATGCCAGATACCTTTGGAAATTATTCAAATGCAAATCCGCAACGATAATTAAGTCAGGAATAATAACAGCGCTACTACTACAAATTATTACCGGTTGGTAAGTCTTTAGGAAGCAAAAACGAGAAAGTCTGAAAGAGAAGAGCTGTATCACGCCCCTCGCGCCTTTTCCTAGTCTAAAAAAGCAAAATGAGGCGGGAGATGTATTTGCATGGAGGAAGACCCGGGCGGCAGACTTTCTACTCTTGGAAATGCCTGCCCCCCCTGGACACCCCCTCCTCAAAAAAGAAATAATAGGGAAACACATTTTTGCACCTCCCCCCACCCATGTTGCTCCTGTGTTTGTGTGTACACATACAGACGCATGTGAAACCTTCGTAAGCTTGATCCTCCTCCGCTTTCTGGTCCATACCGGGGGGGGGGGGAGAGAAAAAAGGAGGGCGCAAAGAAAGAAAGGAGCCAGTGCTCCAGGCTGGGATTTGTAGTCTTGGCCGGGGCGGAGCACCTTTCCCAAGCTGGTCCAGCAAACTACGTTACCCAGCGGCCCCCGCGGCGGGGACGCATGAGCAGAGCGCCTGGCTAGCTCTGAAAAGACTCTCTCTCTGTAGCTCGTAGCACATCAATTCTTTACTTGCTTTGGAGAGAACTAGAAAAAAAAGGTGGTGGTAGTGGAAGGAGGGGGGAATCAGTCGAGCCCTACCGGCAGCAGCCAGAGGAGGTGGTGGTGGAGGAGGAGGAGGAGAAGGAAGAAAAAGCCCAGCCGGCCCGAGTAAGCAAGCTAGACGCGCTTCTGGGGGGGGGGGGCTTCTTTGGTTTGGTGGTGGTGGAGAAGGAGAAGAAGAAGAAGAAGAAGAAGAGAGCAGGCCGCGGAGGGCGGAGGCAAAATCGCGCACACAAAGGCTCCTTTCCCTTCTCCAAGCGCGCCGCTCCGGCGTTTCCTTTTTGCGCTTCCTCTGCTGGCAACAGTGTAACAAAAGGGCGAGCGCGCGGCTGCCCTGCCGCAGACGCAAGGAGGGCTCCGTGCGCCCTCGTTCTGCGCCGGACTCCCTCCCTCCTTGCCCGCCATCTTTCGAAGCGGGGAGAAGGGCGAGCGATCCCGCTTTCCTCCGGCCCGCGCTCGCACAAAGGAACGGCGGGCGGGGAGAAGCTCGCCTCTCCACCAGCCCAGGCCCCCCGTGCGCCCGCCGCTTGCCTTGCTGCCGCTGCTGCGCGCCTGGCTCCGCTCGGCTGGAAGCAGCGCCGCTTCCTCGTCCAGGCGGCTTCAGCGAGCGCCTTGGTTTGTCTCCTGTCGCGTCGCGCTCTGTTTCCTCGCTTTTCTCTCGGGGTGTGTTGTGTTTGTTTGTTTTTTAATTTTCCTGTGTGGTAGTCACTTTAGAAAACTCAGAAAAGATTGCGGGGGGGGGCTTTTCTCTTCTTCCTTAAAAACCCTGTTGCATATGGAGATCTTTTTTAGGGGCGATTGCAGTTGGTTGTGTGGTTGATTGGTTTGTTTATTGCATGTATATCCCATCTCTCCTCCAAGGAGCTCATGGTGGCTTACATACCCGTGACCCCATCTCCAAATTTTATCCCCAGCAGCAAACCTGTGAGATAGGTTGGGTTGAGACTGGTTGGCCACAAGGTCATGCCCACCCGGTGAGCTTTATGGCTGAGTGGGGAATTTGAACCCTGGTTTTCACATGCCCAAACCCAACACCCTAAGCACTATGCCAGACTGGCTCTCAATATGGCTCCATTACTCCCCATCACCAGCTTGGGCTCTGCACTCTCAATTCCACAGTCAAAAGGTCCAAGGACCCGATTTTGATGTGTGTTGTACCTGCTGATTTAGACCTGTTTGCCTGGTAGGTAATCAGCTGATTTTATTGGGACCCCCAATCCTAACTATGTCTATATTATGGAAGTCTGTTCTCTTGCCTTCAGTGTGGCTTATTCCAGTGGAATTGTGGTTAGGATTGCAGGCCAACTCCTTAAAAAAAGAGACATGGACAGGGATGCTGCCTCAAGCACTCTGCCCATGTTCTGGGGCAGCATCAAGGAGACTTAAGACTTGTTGGATTTACTTGGTTGTTGTTTATAATCGCTTCCAAAACAAGAATTTCAAACTGAGGAGCAGGCCGCCTCTGAACATATTCAGATCTCAAGGATTTGTTTTCTGTACCAGAACTGAACTAATTTTGCAATCCTTTTGCATAAAAAAATTCACTCCTGGCTCTTCATTTCATTTCAGTAGCCTTTTTTTGGGGGGGGGAATCCTTGTTTTGTTGCTATTGTAAAATATCTAGGAGTTGGAAACACCTTGGTCCACTGAAGATTGCATGGATATCTAACAGTAGATCCCAATTAACTTGGGATCCTGTGGCTCAGTGCGTATATCACCTGCTTTGCATGCAGAAATGCTCAGCTTCAATCTCTCATGGCATCTCCAGGTAGAGCTGGGAGAGCCTCCCTGTCTGAAACTCTGGAGTCACTGCCAGTCAGTGTAGGCAGTACTGAGCTAGACTATCCCTTTATTAGAACCAGGAGGTCTGGAACCTTATTTTATTTTGGAGAAAAGGCTACATCTGCTTTGCATGCACAGAATAATAGAAATGCAGGATTGGAAGTCCCAGGTCAGGCTGGGAAATACCCCTATCCCTACCTGGAGAGCCTATGCCCGTTAGTGTAAAAAATACTAAGCTAAATGGGACCATACTAAGGTATTCCTGTTTAATTTATGCAGAACCACAAGGACTAGACATTTTTAGGAAAAGGGCCATGGTTCAGTGGTAGAGCATCTGTCTTGCACATAGAAGATTCCAGGTACAGTCCCCCACAGCTTCTCCTGGAAGAGGTGGGAGAGTCTCGCTGTCTGTAACCCTGGAGAACTGCTGCCAGTCACTGTGGGCACTATTGAGCTAGATGGACCAAAGACCTGACTCTGTGTATAAAGCAGCTTTCATATTTCCCTCCCTCTGCCCACTCCAGCTGCATTCAACTTTATCAGACCCACAACCCACCATGAACACAATTCTGCACTGGGGGACCCATTTCTTAGTTTATTTCCCATATATAATTGTGGTGGTAGTGCTGCTGTTGCAAGCCACCATTGATCAAGTTGCAAGGTGGAAGTTGCCCATGACCTGCCAGTTGAAGCCTGATGCCCTAGAGCAGTGTTGTTTTGTTTTGAACACATGTTGTTCCAGAGTTTAGGTATGGCAAATGTTGTGTCCTCTTCCTTGGATAAGGAGAGCCCGCCTGACGCACTTGTAGCATTCTTGTGGAAGCCTGGTTGTGATATCTAGTTCCAGTTCAAGGCCAATAAGATTGTGTTGCCGGTTACATTGATCTCATTGGGGTGTCATCTCTGCCCAGAGTCTCTGTTGACTTAAACTGAATGGTTGTGCTTATTAATTGTGTGATCCATTGCTGGAAACCATAGGAGGGGAAAGTGCTCTTGTGCTTGGGTCCTGCTTGCAGGCTTTGCATTGGGGCATCTGGTTGCCCTCTGTGAGAACAGAATGCTGGACTAGGTGGGCCCCCTTTGGCATGATCCAGCAAGTTCTTATGTTCTTCCTTATTCCTGGAGGCAGGATGCCTCTGGTTGTCACTTGCTGGGAATCACAAGTGAGGAGAGTTGCTCTTGCGCTAGGGTCCTGCTTATGTGCTTCCAGATCTGGTTGGCCACTCTGAGAAGAGGATGCTGGACTTTGATGAGCCCCCTTTGGTCTGGAGGCTTGTCTTGGGCATGCAGGTTTTGTTGTCTCTGTATGCAAGGTGATGGGGAACAGCGATTGGAAAGTGTCATTGTATTTATGTCCTGCTCATGAGCATCCCATTTTGGGAATCTGGTTGGCCGCAGTGGAAACAGGGTGCTTAACTAGATTAGCCCCTTCGGCCTGATCCAGTAGGCTCTTCTTATGTTCTTACTTTGCATCTAAGCAAGTGTGTTTAGGATTGCAGGCTTATTGGGGGTGAGAATCCCCTGCAGAAATCCATTAATGACAAATTCAACAACTTTGTGTCAGAATTTGGGGTCTGTGAGAGGGGGAGATGGTGGTCATGATGAGGGGGTATGGAGACAGTGGTCAATAATACTAGGAACAGTTCATTATCCTTAGAATCATAGAATTGTAGAGTTGGAAGGGATCATAAAGGCCATCTAGTTCAACCACCTGCAATGTGGGGCTTGAAACAAGAACTTTGAGATTAATAATCTCATGCTCTACTGACTGAGCTATCCCTTCCAAGCCAAGCTTATAGCACCTGGTATTCCTGGTATTCCATCCAAGTACTAACCAGTCCTGACCCTGCTGGTGTGTTCAGGGTGGTATCCGTATATATATATCAGTGGGGGTCCTCTTTTGTATATCCCAACCAGTGTTCAAAATCAGCCATGCGCCAGGCACATTTTGCACCTAACTATTTCCCACTTGTGACCAAGTGAGGTTGCCTGGGTGCCAGGAAGGTGCTTGATATCTCCACCATCTGGAGGTGCGTTTCTGAGGATCATTGGATCTTGACTGTTTTCACACATTAATACTACATCCTGTGGAATTCTATCAGTTACATTTTATCTGCACAATCAGAATAAATTTCAGGAACCAAAATGCTTTTTCTGTGCAGCCTAAGCAGGAGCAGTGAACAATTATAGCTAATTGTTGAAGCTTGTCTTCACTTACCCCACTCCACTGCCCTGCTCACAGTTGTGAAAAATATTCATATGTTATGAATGGACTGTGTCATCATTTAGAAAAAGAGCTAGGAATGGTCCATGTATGTGAAGTGTTCCTGGATAATGTGACTTTTCTTTAAGTTCTCAAAGTTCTTAGCCTAGCTCAGGGTTGTCATCTGAACTAGCCAGATGTTTAACTGATAATCAAATATGTTAGTGCATCATTTGAAAAGTAAGACTTTAGAGTCATCTTGCCCAAAAATGACAACTAGACATTCTGTCTTGGCAACTGAAGCTTTGGTTTAAGGAGACATTTGGCCGCTACCTTATACACCTGAGTTTCTAACACTGCAACCAGGCACTGGGAAACAAACTGCCAGAAGGAGTCATTCCTAAAAGAAGTACAGTACCAGTTCCTGGGTACCGCAGGAGGGGAGAGTACTCTTGTGCTCAAATCCCATTTGTGGGTTTCCCATAATGAGCATCTGGTTGGCTACTGTGAGGACAGGATGCTGGACTAAGATGGATCATTGTTTTGATCCAGCAGGCTCTTCTTATGCTCTTAAGCAGGTTGAAACTTTGTGTTGGGTCTAAATCAGCCTTTCCCAAGCTGTCACCTTCCAGATGTTTGGGACCACAATTGCCATCAGCCCCAGCCTGTACAGCTCTTTAATGCTGGGGCTGATGGAAGCATGGCCGTTCCAGTTGAGGACTGATGGGGATTGTCAGGGAGGGCACTGATTGAACATAAAAAGAAGAGCCTTATTGAATCAGGCCAATCACCATCTAGTCTAATATGCCTTTTGCAGTAAGGTGACCAGAATTGCTTACAATTCCTGGACTAAGTTAGCTGAATTTAAGCTGCCATCAAGGGTTTAAATTAAGTCACTGCTAGCTTGCTTTTGACCTCTTCAGCCTTGTCTATTTCAGTGGGATCTGAGTTCTACTCACTTAGTCTGAATCCAAGACATTGTGCACTTCCAAGGGTGTTGTGTTCATTGAAATACAGTTATGGACTCCGCTAGTATAGGTTCTTGGTGTTTACTGGGAAGCTTATTTCGCTGATTGATGGTTCCCCAAGACTTGCACCCAAATAAGGCTACAGTTCTATATTCACATAGAATTAAGTTCCATTTAACTTAGAGGCATGTACTTGCAAGTAAATATGCACTGTGCCAGGCTCTTTGTGGACAGGTGGCCTCAGCTTCCTCTGACACCTTCCTGCCTTCCTCCTTTCAAAGAGAAGAAATTCACAGAGGATATCAAGGGGTACCATTGCTAGCCATGATGGCCAGGCTCTGACTCCATGATTAGAGGCAGTAATGCTTCTGAATACTTGTTTATGGAAACTGCAGAATGGGAGAGTGCTCTTGGACTCTGGTCCTGATTGATGGTTTAGGGCACCTGGTTGGCCACTGTGAGGACAGGATGCTGGAGGAGATGGGTAACTTTTGGCTAGATCTAGCAAACTCTGCTTAGGTTCTTAGAACGTAATAAGAGCCTGGCTGCTGGATTGGACCAAAAGCTTAATAATAATAATAATAATAATAATAATAATAATAATGAATGCCCTTTTACATGCATTTCAAGGCAATTTGCAAACACACCATAAAAACCATAAAGAGCTAGTTTTAAAAACGGCACTAAAGAAAACCCAACTAAAGACGTTGGGGGAGCAATCACAAATAGCAGCTACCGAGGTTGCAAAGCCAGGGCCAGTCTTCCCAAGTCCTTAGCACATGCAAGAGCACAAGACCAAGCAGATGGCTCTGGGGGATGTGAGCTCAAAAGTTTCTTGGCCAAGTGGGGATTTGAACCCTGCTGCTGGCATTCGCTGGTACTTTGTTTATGTGAGATGCTTTGGGTAAAGGGTAGCTTATGATAAATACTTTTAATTACAACATAATGTTAGTCATACTTGGAGTAGACACACAAAAATTTATGGCCACGAGTAACTTGTTTCCATTAATTTCATTGGGCTCTACTCTGAGTAGAATTTACTTGGGCACCACCCAAATAAATCCAATTTGATCTACACTTATGATTTAGATGTGATCTTATTTGGGCTGCTCACCATTACAGATTCAACATTTTATAGTTGGTTTTCAAATAAGTAATTGGTTGATATGATTGAGCACATCTCTCTCCCCATTGCCTTATATATAAGCTCTCTCAATTGCTTTGATTTCTGGAACTGGCACTGTTAAAGATGCCATGTAATACCCATTCCATGTCATTAAGAAATTCATCTTCTAGTGTGATGGCACCTACACTTTGGAACTCCCTGCCTAATGACAGGTGCCCTCACTACACTTTTTGGTGCCTGCTCAAAACAGTTTTGTATAGATAAGCCTACACAGGTATCTAGAAGGCTAGTGAATTTTTAGGTTGTTGCTGGTTTTATTATTATTGTTATTGCATGCTTTAATTTTTTTTAAGTGTTTTAGTATTCTTGCAAACTGCTTTGAGGTTTTTTAAACAAATAAGCAGTACAGTATATAAAATTGTATGAAATAATAATACATTGTTGGCATGTTCTTACTTTTAGCTGTTAGTAGTCTAGGAGTTATATTGGCGTGTTCTGAGTCTGAGCCATGTTAATGTCTTGCCCAATATATATATATCCACCTAGCTTTCTTTCAGTGTTGTGAATTTGTGCTGGCTGTGCTCAGTATGTGTTTCAGGATGGTAAGAAAAATGTAGTAGATTGGATTCTTTCTCTAGACTTGGGTGGTTAGAACACATTTTTAAAAACCTCTTTGTAGTGTAGTAAATACAGAAGGTTGATGCAGTGTTAGAAGCTCAGATATATAAGCTAGGCACCAATATAGCTCCTTAAACCAATGTAATAGTCACCAAAACGGAATGCCTAGTTGTGATTTTTGGGCCAGACGGATCGAAAATCCTATTCTTCAATAGAATGTTTTAGCTCCTGAAATTCATTCTAGTTGTGCAGATAAAATATGGATAGAATTTTATAGGAGGTTTTGCTAGTGTGTGAAAACAGTCAAGATCCAATAATCCCCAGGCATGCACCTCCAGATGGTAGATGCACCAGGTGTCATCCTAGCACTCAGGCATCTTCACTTGGTCACAAGTGGCCGAAAGCAAGGTGCAAAATGCTCCTGGCAACTTTTGAATGCTGGGTTGATGTCTGATTTTACAGAAGTCACAGAGGAGCTCATTCCCCACTCTATTTCCTGCCACTGCATCATCATTGTAAGGAGTCAAGATGTAATTCCAGTCTCTGAGCAAAGCAAATTTCCTCCCAGTCCTTCTCCAGAAATAGGCTTTTGTGCCATCAGTTGCTATGAACAAGGCCAGTTCTAAGGATTGCCCCATAAATGTGATTGCCCTGCCAGTTGTGCCCTTGTATGTACAAAGGACCTGGGGTGGTGTGGCTTAGGGTGCAGCCTTGGGCTGGCCCTGGCTTTGCAGGCTTAGTAGTCAGCTATTTGTGATTGCCCCACAAGCTTCTCCCTTGTATGCAAGAAAGGACTCGTGGTGGGGGACCGTCCTCCTTCTCCTCCTCCTCCTTCTCCTTCCATGTCATAGAACTGGAGGGCCTAATGAGATTTGGCTCCTTGTGATCAAAAGATCGAGCCCTCCACGATGTGTCTTCCCTCCGCCCTTTTCTAGAAATCATCGACTGATGTTTTGCTGTCCTCTCCCTGCTCTCCAGGCTGCATGGCTGGTCCCTGGGAATGGGATGCCCATCCCATCCAGGGATCGTAGAAAGACGACGATTCCTTCCCGAGGACCTGCTGCGGCTGCCTTGAACGCCAGCAAGTCGAGGAGGAGGCAGGAGAAAGATGTCTGCTGCCACCTCAGCCATCCAGGCTCCCCAAGGCCCTGCGAACCCACCTCCCCCAGAGGTTACCAACTCAGCCAAACCTGGGCGGAAGACCAACCAACTTCAGTACATGCAGAATGTGGTGGTGAAGACTCTGTGGAAACACCAGTTCGCCTGGCCTTTCTACCAACCTGTTGATGCGATTAAATTGAATTTACCAGTGAGTAATGTTTCTTATTTCTGAGGTGTTTCCCCACTTATTTAAAGGCTCCGACAAGGCGTCATCTGTTGTCATGAGGAATCGTAGAACCCATTGCAATGCAGAAATCACAGCTATAGAATTCCCAAAAGATGGTCTTCCAACCTCTGTTTAAAAACCTCCAACAAGCGAGAGTCCCTAATCATCCAAGTTCCATTGCCAAGCAGTTACCGTCAGAAAATTCTCCATATTGTTTAGTCAGAATATCCTTTATTGTCATTTGAATCCTTTGGTTCAGGTCCTCCCCTCCCAGAGCAGCAGAAGCTTGCTCAGTCTTCCATAGGACAGCTCCTTAGATAAAGGAGTTTCAGAGCAAGGTGTCACCAGTACGCTGATGACACACGCAACTCTACTTCTCCCTGACATCTGAATCAGGAGAGAATGTGAAAGCTTTGGACCTGTGTCTGGATGCAGTAGTGGACTGGATGAGAGCCAGTAAACTGTGTTAGATTCCTGCAAAGGCAGAGGTTCTTAAGGTGGGTGGGTCCCATGTCTGGAGATAGGGCAACCCCACCCAGAACAGGTAACTTACCTATCTCTGAAGGAGCAAGTGCGTAGTTTGGGGGTACTCCTGGATACATTGTTTTCACTAGAGGCCCAGGTGTCCTCTGTGGCTAGAAGTGCCTTCTACCAGCTTCATCTGGTTTGCTAATCACAACCATTCCTGGACACTTGGACAGGGATACCCTGGCCACTGTAGTCCATGCATAATCTTGAGCCTGGATCGCTGTAATGTGCTCTCTGTGGAGCGGCCTTGGGCTTGGTTTGGAAGCTCCACCTGGTGAAGAATGCAGCATCCAGATTACTAAGGAGAGAGTCTGGTTGAGAACATGGGACAACCTGCTCTGGCTCCCCATCTACTACCAAGCCTGGTTCAAGGTCCTTGTATTAACTTACAAAGCCCTGAGCAACTGAGGTCCCGGGTACCTCAGGGAGTGCCAGAACCCTTGTATCCCAAGTCCATCGCTGAGATTCTCTGCAGGAACATAATTTCCTGAGTTGGTGAGACTGATTTGGCAGCAAGAAGAAACTAAGTCTCTAGGGTCATCGACCCAATCCTGTGGAACTGCCTGCCACTTCCATCTTAACCTTTAAATGCCTCCTGAAAATTTTTCTGTTCCCTCAGACTTACACAGGAAATCAATACATCTTTTCCACAATAGTTCGCTGATTTTTTAAAATCTTAACTTTTTATATGGCTTTATGTATAATGGTTGTAAACTGCTCTGATTTTTGTTGTTGTTATAAAATTGGGATATATAAATATGCTTATAAATAAAATATGCCATCATCCCTGGTCATTGGCCACTCTTGCTGTGGTTTACAGGAGATGGAGATGTATTTACTTAAATAAAAATTAATACACCTCCAATACCTGTAATTTCATAATGTAATGTAATTTTATTTCATAAAATTTACACCGTACTGGAGTGTAAAAAAGAAAGAAAAAGAAAATGCCTCAAAACAGTTTACGAAAAGAATTAAAAATATTAATTCTGTAATGAACAACATGTGGAGGGTCATGGATTTTCCATCCCCCCCCCCCCCCGTTATACTTAACCATGGTTTGTTTCTTGTAACTATCGCCAAATGCTGCATATGATTATCTAAACCAGTGGTGGGAAATTTCCTTCAGCATGTGGGCTGCATTCCTGTGATCTGCCTTTCGGAGGCCACAAGCCTTCACCCTGGCTGGCTTTCTCCCACTGGTGTGTGACTTCTTGAAAGGTTCCCTATAGGTCCCTCTAGCTGAAACGGTCCTGCCCCTCCCCAAATAATTAATAAACAAGATTTCCCTCCTCCCAACAGGATTACCACAGAATAATTAAAAACCCGATGGATATGGGGACTATCAAGAAACGGCTAGAGCACAACTATTACTGGAGTGCCAGCGAATGTATGCAAGATTTCAACACCATGTTTACAAATTGCTACATCTACAATAAGGTAAAGGATCTGGACCCGGGGGCTGAGATGTATGTTGTCGGGTGTTGTGTCCTTTTAGTATTATGAGGAAGTCCAGACTATGAAACAAGCCGGACGAGAACTTTAGTGCAAGTGGTGTAAGTCTTACTCTGAAGATAACCAAACACTATTAAAAACACCTAACTGTGCCTACAGTGTGGCAGTGTGTGCCTGCAAAAATGGCTCATTTTGCAGCTCACATTGTGTCCTCTAGTAACCAGCTGGTGGAGTTATTTTGGAGGGTCTCAGGGTTACTGACTCCCACTGTAGAGGAGAGACCTCTGGAGCCCTTGAAGACCTGCTGTGATCAACTGGCTACACACTTTTGAGGATAAAATCACTCAGCTTTAAATAATAATAATAATAATAATAATAATAATAATAATAATAATAATAATAATTTATTATTTATACCCCGCCTATCTGGCTGGGTTTCCCCAGCCACTCTGGGCGGCTTCCAACTGAATATTAAAAACAATACAGCATCAGACATTAAAAACTTCCCTAAAGAGGGCTGCCTTCAGTTGTCTTTTAAAAGTAAAATAGTTGTTTATTGCCTTGACATCTGCTGGGAGGGCGTTCCACAGGGCAGGATCATGACTCTGTGCTTGTTGCAGCTCTGGAGGGATCATGACTCTGTGCTTGATGCAGCTCTGGTTGAAGTACGCATTCCTGCCATGAAGGATGTTTTATGGGATCAGTTTCTCCTCATGCAATCAGCTGATATGGACGAGATGCTGGTGGCAATGCGTCTGACCACATGCAACCTTGACCCCTGTTCCTCCTGGCTTGTTAGATCTAGCATAGTGGGACTGACTGGTTGGGTCCAGAGTGTGATTAATGCTTTGCTGCATGAGTGGGTTCCTACTGACATCAGGCAGGCACCTTTGATCAGCAGCCTTAGCGCTGTTACAGGTGCCACATAATACTTGTTCCATGTTTGTAAGAACTCAATATTTTAGTGTGGCAGCACCTATACTTTGGAACTTCTTGCCTATTGATATCGGACGGACACCTTCGCTGTACTTGTTGCAGCACCTGCTAAGAGCTATATTGTTTAGATAAGTTTACCCAGATGTTTTAGAAGATTGGTGCAAATTTTGATCCGTTTTTTAAATTTTTTTGAAAGTTTTAAATCCTTGCTGTTAATTTTTCTAAGTGATGATCTTAATTATCTTTTTCTTTCTTTGCAAACCACTTTGAGGTCTTTCCCCACCACACTCAAGTGGTGTATGAATGTTATGAAGCAAACAAATAAATAAATAGATGTCAGGTGTCAAGCCTTCCTGTGTGTCCTCCCCATGACCTCCTGCTTTCTCCCACCCCGTCTCCAGCCCACCGATGACATCGTTCTCATGGCCCAAGCCTTGGAGAAGATCTTTCTTCAAAAAGTCGCTCAGATGCCACAGGAAGAGGTTGAGCTCTTGCCTCCAGTTCCGAAAGGCAAAGCGCGGAAGATGGCTGGCAGCGGGCACAGCACAGGTTGGGATGGCATCTGTCATAGAACCATAGAATTGTAGAGTTGGATGCATCCTCTAGCGTCATCTAGTCCAATCCTTCCAATGCAGGAATCACAGCTTAAGAATCCCTGGCAGGTGGACTGTAGAGTTAGAAGTAACCCAGATGGTCATCTAGTCCAATCCCCTGAAAGGCAAGTGGATTATTTATGGATGAAGCAAATAAGGAAAGGGGTGTAGCTCAGTGACAGAGTGTCTGCTTTGCATCCAGAAGGTCCCAAGTTCAATCTCTGACAGCAGCTTGTAGGACTGCAGAAGTATCCCTCTTTGAAACCCTGGAGAGTGGCTGCCAGTCAGTGTAGACACTATTGAGTTGGATGGACCAAATGTCAGACTCGTATAAGGCATCTTCCTGTGCTCCTATTGAACACAGCACTTTATTCAGAACCACGAGGACTAGAATCTTAATCTTTAGGGGGAGGGCCTTAGCTCAGGGATGGAGTGTTTGCTTGGCATGCAGGAAGTCCCAGGTTAAGCTGCCAGTGGCATCTCCAGGTAGGGCTTGAAGAGAACTTTGGCTAGAGAGCTGCTGCCTGTCAGTGTAGACAGTGCTGCGCTAGATGGACCAGTGGTCTGACTCAGTGGAAGGCAGCTTCCTATGTTCCTATCTGTATTCAGAACCGTGAGGACTAGAATTTTGTTCTCAGAAACATTAAGGGCTAGCAATTTTTTTCTTGCAACACTTTCCAAGTTACAGAGAAGGAGGTAAGGTTCAGGGAGAGGATTTTATTTAGAGCTTTTCTATGGCTCTCTTCACTCAAAAAGGCTCACAGGAGTGGCTTAAAAGAAGACAAGTCCCTCATAGGCTTACAGCTTTTTAACAACAAAACAAAAACACCATAAAAACAACCCATGAGGGAAAAGGGAGATGGATGGGAAGAGGAACAGTAAACTTAAATAATATTATTCTTAAATAATAGCTGTTTTCATGATTCAGAAATAGTTCAGGGGTAGGGCTGTGTGATATCTGATTTTCAATAGGACAATATATCACCAGCTAAACATGATATTTCAGTATATCACAATGCTTGAAATAAGGCTGGAACTATGTAGAGGTGAATGTGGTAATCCCCTGGCAACTGCTCCTACCTACAGGTCTAACTCTAAAATTGATAGATTTTTATTTACCTTTAACATATTGTTAAAACTGTTATATTATAGTACTACTGTACTGATAATGTTTAAATTAGCACATTTTCTCTAAAATTAAAGCTGTAGAAGTAATTCAGTAGCATAGATATCAAAGGTAAGGTGAGAGAATGTTTTCTAAAAAATAAATTACATTACGAAACAAGAAAAAAAGCCAATTCACAATCACTGTCACACTTTTAGATATTCAAATATATTTCACTACTGAGTCTTCGTTGAATGTGTGCATCCCACAACACCAGTTATTAGATTGTTTGTTAATTTTATTTTCTAAACCAGGCCAAAATAGAGCGAATGAAATGGATAAATTTTAACAGAATAAAAAAATTGCTAAACAAATTTTATATTTTTAGTGCCAGGGGAATCTGCATTTCTTTTATAATCCAGACCAAACCAGAAAGAATGGATAGAGTTTTACAGAATAAAAAAAGATTAAACACACTCTCTATATATATATGTATGTGCAAGGAAAATTTGATGCATTTAATTATATGAAAATTTACTCATTGATAGCGTGCTTCAACAGTAACGTTACAGATTTCTGGAGAATATATTAATGTTAATAACTTAATAATAAATGTGTGAGAAAGCAAAGGGGTAAGAGGAGAATCGAGAAGAGTTCCAGGGTAAGGAGGAGGGTCTGGAGGAGAAAATGAGGAGCATAATGAGGGAGACAGAGACAATTTTGCGTGCGTACACACACACACACACACACACACACACAGAGAGAGAGAGAGAGAGAGAGAGAGAGAGAGAGAGAATGAATACATGCAGATGGGGAAAAGAGGGAAGTGGCCAGAGCAGCGTGTTTTTCTTTCTTTTAATCTGAAGCAACTACGGAACATGTTCTTCAGCAGTTTCTTTGGGACAGGGGAGGTGGTGGAGGGGGGTGGGAGAGCTACTTTAAAGTTAAGAAGAGGAGCTGCTGCCTGAGAGCAGAAAGAGGCTAAGTTAATTTTTATATATACAATGGTACCTCAGGTTACAGACACTTCAAGTTACAGGCGCTTCAGGTTACAGACTCTGCTAACCCAGAAATAGTACCTCAGGTTAAGAACTTTGCTTCAGGATAAGAACAGAAATCGCGCAGCGGCGGCAACAGGAGGCCCCATTAGCTAAAGCGGTACCTCAGGTTAAGAACAGTTTCAGGTTAAGAATGGACCTCCAGAACAAATTAAGTTCTTAACCTGAGGTACCACTGTATAAAAAACTGCTCTGCGTATTCATAAAAACAAAACACACACAAACACAGGAGATGGAGAGGGAGGGGGACACACACACACACACACAGGCAATCGCACACCCACAACCAATAAGCACAGCAGGGGGAAGAAGGAAACGGCTCTAATGCCACAGCAGCGTGTTGTTCTTTCTTTTAATCTGAAGCAACTACGTAGCGTGTTTATCTGCAGCTTGCTTTGGACAGGGGAAGCAGGGGTGGCGGGGAGGGGAAGAGCTACTTTAGAGTAAAGTTAAGACGACCTGCCGCCTGCCAACAGAGAGAGGCTGGGTTAATTAAAACAACAACAACACAAGGTGTTCTGCTGCTTCTCAGAAACGAAACGCGCACATAAACATGGGAGTGGGGAGGGAGGGAGACATACACACAGACAATCGCACACCCACAACAAGCACAACAGGGGGAAGAGGGAAGCGGCTCTTACGCTAGAGCAGTGTGTTTTTCTTTTTACTACTCCCCCAGTTTATATTATTACGTGAGAACAGGAGGAGAAAGGGGGCTCCAGATTCAGCAAGAGCCTGGCATCTCTGAGGGAGGGAAGTTCCTGCTCGCAGGTTGTTGAGCTCCACCTGCTCAGGAGACAGAGCACTCAGGCGGAGTTAGAGTTAGGAAAGTCAGAGTTAGGCTGCATGCACCTGTGCACACACACGATATCTCCAAGAACGATTTTTGCCTGCCGCTGAGGAGGCAGGCAGGGGAGACGGCGAGCTAAGGCAGAGAGTTTACCCTGCAGTGCACACAAAGTTTCTAAGTGAGCGATTTTTGCATCAGCCTGCTGCTGCTGCTGCGACAGGAAGCACAGAAAAGCAGCTGAGGCAGAGTTAGCAATAACAATGGCTGCAACAGGACAGGAAGCAGCGTTGGCTTCCCGGTTTTTGTAATATCATGCTTTTTGACTATTGCACACAAGCACACACACGACTCAAGATAAATTGCCAGGTAATTTTTAAAAAAATGGTTATCACAATTTGCTCTTAATATTGATTATAAGACAATATATTGATATTTCGCGTGGCCCTATTCAGGGGTAGGAAACGCCTGTTGGAGCTTGCTCTTTGGCAAAGGTAATGGAACAAGACCTTGCAGAAGACGTTGCAGTCATGAAAGAAGCGGCACACAAGGAAGAAGGGACGGGGAGGGGAGAGGGGAAATAAGAAAAAAGCAGCAATCTCGGGCACTATTTCTTAAACAGTATTTATCATCATGACCAGCTGGGGTAGAATGTTTCTGATTGAGCTGGCCTTCATCCCCAAAAGAACCAGGGAGGAGTTTGCTACTTTGACCCTTTTCTCTCTTGTTTTTCTTTTTTTAAAAAAACAACAACAACCAGGAGCTCAGCACCCAGCAGCCTTATCTTCCGTGTCTCCATCAGCCCCCTTCCAGAATGTCCCTCCCTCCGTGTCGCAGACGCCAGTCATCGCTGCCACGCCCGTGCCAACCATCACCGCGAACATCTCCCCCATTGCTGCGGCCCCTGCTGCTGTGCCCCCACTGCCTCCCCCTCCTGCTGCCACTCCCATCATGCCTGTGGTAACTGCTATGTCACCTATTGTCAAGGTAAGCAAAAGAAAATAAACCCAACCCACAGGAATCATAGAGTAGGAAGTACCTTTTATCATACAGTATGTGGTGGACATGTAAAATGGCTAAGAGCTTCTGGGAGATGATACATAATGAATTGAAAATAAAAATGTTTAAAAGGAAATTTGTAAAAAGACGAAGTTTTCTTTTAGGTATAATTGATGCAGATATACCTAGATATCAGGAAAATCTCCTATGCAACTACAGCAGCCTGACTGGTATATGCTCAGAAATGGAAGGAGGGCACAATACCAACAAAGGAATGGCAGATAATATTGATAGAATATGTAGAAATGGCTAATTTGACTAGTAGACTAAGAGACCAGGACGAGAAAGACTGGAAAAGATTTGCAACATACTTGAAAAATTACTGTAAACTAAAATGTTAGCAGTGTTAGAATAAATTCAGCAGTATGAAGTATATTGAAATAAAACTGAAAAAGAGAGATTCAGGTAGGTTGCCGTGTTGGTGTGACGCAGTCGAAATAAATAAATTAAAAAATTGTCCAGTAGCACCTTAGAGACCAACGTAAGTTTGCTCTGGGTAAAGTGATAAATACGGATGATTTCCAGAGAAGCTGAGGGAAGTTCAAAAAGAGATAATTTGTTAAAACTTGGATAAAAATGTATAATTGTATTGGAAAATTAATAAAAATTTATTTGCAAAAAAAAAAAAGTTTGCTCTGGGTATAAGCTGAAGAAGTGTGCATGCACACCAAAGCTTATACCCAGAACAAACTTAGTTGGTGCTACTGGACAATTTATTTTATTTTATTTTTTATTTTCAAAAAGAGAGAATACGGAATAATTAGAATTTGGAGTGGCAGTGGGTTAATAAAATGAAGCATGGAAGGTGGCGGAAAGGAAAATCGATGATAAATGTATGGTTTGTATTTTGGTTAAATGTCGTTGTGCAAACTATGTTAAATTGAAAATGATAATTTAAAAAGAAAAAAAGAGTTGCAAGTGGGGATTGAACCTGAGACCCTCCTACTTACACTACCAGTGATCCAAAGCCCATCCAAAGCAAGATTCTAGTCCTCATAGTTCTGAATAAAGGGCCCATGCATTCATCATTTATTATTTGTAGCCTCTCCTTTTAAAAAAATTGTGTATGTGTGTTTTCCTTTGAATTTCAGAAAAAGGGAGTGAAGCGGAAAGCGGACACAACCACCCCGACCACATCAGCCATCACAGCCAGTCGGAGTGAGTCGCCCACCCCGCTGCTGGACTCCAAGCAGGCAAAGGTGGTGGCCCGCCGGGAGAGCGGGGGCCGGCCCATCAAGCCGCCCAAGAAAGACCTGGAGGATGGGGAGGTGCCCCAGCACGCAGGGAAGAAGGGGAAGCTCTCTGAACACCTCAAGTACTGTGACAGCATCCTCAAGGAGATGCTCTCCAAGAAGCACGCAGCATATGCTTGGCCCTTCTACAAGCCAGTGGATGCTGAGGCTCTGGAGCTGCACGACTACCATGACATCATCAAGCACCCGATGGATCTCAGTACTGTGAAAGTATGTCCCCTGTTAGTCTTGATTCATTGTGTTGATAGCCCACCTTTTCCTCCTCCCTTTTCACAGCAACCCTGTAAGGTAGGTTAGGTCAGGCTGAGAGAGGCAGTGGCTGTGAGCCAAGGTCACACCCAGTGAGTTTCATGGCTGAGTGGGAGGATTTGAAGTTCCTAGGCCAACAATCTAACCGCTATATCACTTTTTTTAAAAGGCATTTAAAATTTTTCATAATGAAAAATAGGGGTAAGTTAAAAGGAGACTAGGAATTGTTTGCATGCCTGGATAGGCTTGTCCAAACAAAAAGGTTTTAAGCAAGCACTAGATAGGGTGTAGTGAAGGCACCTCCCTGCTGTCAATAGGCAGGGCATTCTACAGTGCAAGTTTGAGTTCTTAAAAGCGCAGAGTGGGCATTATGTGGCACATGTGACAGTGCCAGTTCTATGGACTGAAGCAGTCAAGTGCTTATATATGACCAAGGCAATCTCACTGGTAAACTGGTCCCAAGTTGTTAAGGGCTTAATACACTAACCATAACAGCTTGAACTTGTCCCAGTTGCAAATCCTACTGATTATATTTATTATTCAATTCATGCCAGCCACCCCCCCCCAAGGAGCTCAGGGCAGTAAACAGTATACAGTTTAAAATTAAAACAACAACACTGGAGCCTTTAAAAACCATTATAATTAAAAACAGTTACAATTTAAAATGTCTTAAATCCAATGATTTTGGGGTTGCCAGGAACAGTCTTCTTCAGCCACCACAAGCTTAAGTTAAGGGGGTCATACGTCAATGTTTTCAAACCCCTCTTGAAAGTTAATACAGTGGTGCCCCGCAAGACGAATGCCTCGCAAGACGAAAAACTCGCTAGATGAAAGTTTTCCGTTTTTTGAGTCGTTCCGCAAGACGAATTTCCCTATGGGCTTGCTTCGCAAGATGAAACGTCTTGCGAGTTTATTTCCTTTTTCTTTAAGCCGCTAATAGCCGCTAAGCCACTAATAGCCGTGCTTCGCAAGACGAAAAAACTGCAAGACGAAGAGACTCACGGAACGGATTAATTTCGTCTTGCGAGGCACCACTGTAATGTTGGGACAAGTGCTTCTCACTATGGCGGGCTTTCCTCAACCAGGAAGCCACCACAGAGAAGACCCTGTCACGGTTCAAAACTAACCAGGCAGCACCCAGGGACTACCATCAGAGGCAGCTGCCAGGCTGATGCTGGCATTGGATGAGGGGGAGTTGTGGCCTGGTCCATCAACAGTGGACTTGTTTTTGCTGCTCCTTCAATGCTTGCTGGAAGATTTCTGATATATAATCATATAATATTAGGGTTCAGGGGTCAAGGGTAATCTAGTTCAACCCCCTGAATTGCAGGAATCACAGCTCAAGAATCCCTGATGGATGACCATTCAACTTCTGCTTTAAAATCTCCAGTGAAGGAGAGTCCACCACCTTCACAACATACATGAGCAAAACTCAAATCCCACATGACATACTCTCAGCTGTATCATTTTATTCCTGTAGCATTTCTAAGCATCAAAAGTGCTTGTAAATAATTGTTTTGTTCTCTGCAGTGGCTATAGTAGTTTGTCGATGGTTTCCAGCCCTGCCCCAGATTAAACTCTGCCTTAAAAATAAAAAAAAACTTTCTGCATATGTGAATTCAAGTTGCTTAGGGCTTTTTCGACCTGTTACCCAACTTTCCCTCTCCCTGTTCTTCCTTCCCTCCCGACTTTCTTGTATTTGCAGAAAAAAATGGACGTTCGGGATTATCAAGATGCCCAGAGCTTTGCGGCGGACATCCGGTTAATGTTCTCTAATTGTTATAAGTACAACCCTCCAGACCATGAAGTCGTGGCTATGGCCAGGAAGCTTCAGGTAAAGTGATGGACAAAATGGAACCAGAACAGAGACTCAAAAACTGATATGAGAAATAAATAATTTCCTTGTTAAAGGTGCCTATGAGGCTTTGGATTGTGCCTAATTCCCCTTGCCTGCCTCCAAAATAATGCATTTCTGTCCCTGATTTGGCCTGTCCCAGGGAAGTGACTCAGGCAGAGAAGCGACAAGCAGCCTCCTCATAGGAGCAGAGTGGATCATTTATGCACATCTGCATTGGGGACACTTTTAGAGCAGAGGTGGTCAAGTAAGCCCCGCTGGTGGGCCAGAACTTGTTCTCCTCTCCTCCCACTGGGCAAAATTGTGACAGGTGGGTGAGGATGCCGGCCTGTCAGTCACCTGATGTCACGGTGATATTGGGTGACCTCGTGGGGGTTTTTCGGGGGGGGGTTGCCTGAGCAGTTGCGGGAGGTGGGGGGAATCATGCAGGCAAAGGCAGAGGTCTTTACAAGCACTGATAATCAAGTGGATGCCTCTGGTTAGCTGACAGGTGAGGCATTTTTAGACCAGCTGGGTATTTTACCTGGAGGTGAAGACAGGTGAGCTTGGTTTGGTTGGCATAATTGGGCCTATGGACAGAAGTGTCCCTTCTGGGGAGGGGAGGGGGAGCTATCATTTTTTGTAATGATATTTTTATTAAAGTTTTTAAATAACACAATAAAAACTGCTACAAAAAATACAAACAGAATAAGTAGAATATGGAGTCCTCTCTTAAGAGTAATTTTTAGCCCTTACCACCTAAAGGGGACAGTAGCTCATTCCCAGCTCTCACCTGGAATCTTTCCTTTCTCCTCCCAGCATTTGGCCCTGAAAGAGTGACATTTCCATGTACATTAAAAATATGATTATTTAAAACATTCAGTCCATGCTAACACCCATCTTCTCTATTTTCTGTTAAACAATATTTCTTTTAAGTCAAGGTGACTCAGAATCAATCATTTATTTTCCCCACAAAAAGCCTAAGATAGGTTCCCGAATTGTTATTATTGGTACCTGTCAACCATATTTTTTCTTTAATATTAACTTTACCTCCATTAATTCCCACCAGCATTATTCCATATCAGCTGACAGTAAATTCTCCTGTCTGTGTCCATTTTAAATCTATCCAGTGTGGTCACATATTGGGATAATATTCTATATTTTTCTTACTATATATCCATTAGTCCATGTCTTGTATGTTCAAATTCAATTTCCTGTTGTGTTTCCATTTCCTGTTGTATTTATGATAGCATCCCAATCTGCTCTTCTAGGACCTTTGATTTTTTTTGTTTTTCCAAGTCTTTTTCCATAGAGAATAGCATAAATTTAGCAGCAGCATTCTCTGAATTCACTCCAAATTGACTGCAGAATATACTTTGTCTGCTAGAACTGAAGAAAGGCCAGGAATGAAGTTTTTCCCAGTGCTTCCCCCCCTCTCAAATCCATCAATGCCATATCCAGACAATTCTCCATATCACTATTTGTGATTTTATCTTCTCCTCCAAATCCTTGTATGGAAGGCATTTCAATTTCAGCACCTGCTTCCTGTAATTTAGCTATTTATCATCCAGTCCTGCTAGCTTTTCATCGATTTGGTTTGAAGCACAGAATTGGAGAGTTGGAAGGAGCCCTCAAGGGGCATCTAGTCCAATCCCCTGCAGTGTAGAAATAACAGCTAAATGTGAGAGGATTCTGCAACTAGACTGCATCAAAGCAGATTATGCCCAGCTGGCCAATATACGTCCCATCTTTTTTTTGGGGGGGTGACTCAGCAATGATGCTCTTGTGTTTCACATCCTTGCCTTTGTTCCAAATTGTTTATTTTTTTGAATGGGAGGTTGGGGAACACTGCTTCCAAGGAGAAAGTGGGTAGAGGAGGTGGGGAAACTCACTGTCATGGAAAGTGGTGATGGCCACCAATCTTAAATGGCTTTAAAAGAGGAATAGACAAATTCATGGAAGAGATAAGGCTGTCAATGGCTGCTAGCTATGGATGCTTTAGCTGAGATTCTTTGCATTGTAGTGGGTTGGACTTGATGATCCTTGGGGTCCCTTCCAACTCTACAGTTCTGTGATTCTTTGATTCTATGGCTGTGCTCTTTCTCTATGGTCGGAGGCAATGATATTTTTGAATACCAGTTGCTGGGAACCACAGAAGGAAAGAGGGCTCTTGTGCTTGGACTCTACTTGCATGCTTCCCTTTGGAGCATCTGGGTGGCCATTGTAAGAACAGGATGCTGAACTGGATGTGGCCAGTGGCTTATCTAATGTTCCTAGAAGGGTTGTGGGCTCTCTCTGCCCCCTCTACAAACCTCTCTCTTTCATATGCCCTCTCTCTCCGCACGCAGGACGTCTTTGAGATGAGGTTTGCCAAGATGCCGGATGAGCCGGCAGAGCCCCTGGCCCAGCCCCCACAGACGGCACCGGTTGTCAGCAAAAGCATGGAAAGCAGCCATAGCAGCGAGGAGAGCTCCTCCGACTCGGACAGCTCAGACTCTGAAGAGGAAAGAGCCACACGGCTGGCTGAGCTGCAGGAGCAGGTGAGAGGTGGCCCCATGCCAGAAGTCCTCTTCCACACCATACACAGTTAACCTGTGGAACTCAGTCCTGCAAGGCAGTGATGGCCACCAACTTGGATGGCTTTGGAAGAGGATTGGACAGGTTAAGGGAGGAGAAGGCTATCAATGGCTATTAGGCATGATGGCTTTGGTCTACCTCCACTGTCAGAGGCAATGATGCTTCTGAATGCTAGTAGCTAGGAATCACAAGCGGGGAGAGTTGCTGTTGCTCTCAGGTCTTGCCTGCGGGCTTCCCTTTGGGGCATCTGGTTGGCCACTGTCAGAACAGGATGCTGGACTAGGTGGGCCACTGGCCTGATCCAGGATGGCTCTTCTTATGTTCTTATGGTCCTTTAAAAACAAACAAACGTTGAGATCTCATTCCCAATGGGTTCCAGGCCAAGCTCCAATAAAAGCCCCTCTACATGTGAGCTTGCTTGACATTTTGGCATCTATGAAATATGTCTGTGGAAAAACCTAGTGTTCAGCCAGCACACATATGGTTCTAGAAGTCTTCAGTTTGAGAACCACCTCAGCAAAATAATTTATTTTGGAGTATAAGTCACTTAGTCTCAGTTGGGCTGATCTGTAATATGAGAGCTACACTTGCCTCTGAAGAATTTAAATGATCATTTACTTGTTTGAAACAAGGTCCTGCTTTTTAGTGTTTATAAAGTAAACTGCAATGTGGCTAATATTCAGAGGCTTTAAAAAAATAATAATCCCAAAATATTCCAAACAGTTTTGGCTTACTAGGAACCTTTCTTTCTTTTTTAAAAAATTGGGTGCCTGAAGGCATACATTGTGTGGTTCTTATAATGCAAAAAATACATTATGAAAAAAGAATTGCGAGTGGGGGAAATGCTGCTGGCCCTTGCGTTTTCATGCACTTTGAGTGGCCTGGAGGGCTAGAAAGTTGGCCCTTTTAAAAGGAAAGAGAGGAAAAAATGAAAAGATTCTCAGGATTCCTTGGGAGACCAGAGTGTAATTTTTTGTGTGTTCATGTGGCAAATGCAGATTGCGGGATCCCCTACCCTTCCCCCCCTCCCTTCCTACCGAATGGATTCGCACTCAGGATGCACGATTAGCTTCCTCGCCTGTCTTCTTGTTCACACAGGACTGTTCCCGATCATTGAGGCAGTGCTACAAGGTCAATGACTCCCGAGACTGGAATGGATGGAATGTATTTGTTTATTTTAATTTTAATTTTAAAATTTTCATTTTCTTATTGCTGTCCGGATATGTCAAGTTGTGTAGCATTAGCATAGCTATATATATATATATATAATATCCTATCTATAAGCTGTGTTGCTGTGTTGCATGTGAGATAATTTTTCCGTCCTGCTGATCCAGTAAAGCTCTGGGCTTCAGCTGGCAAGGTGGGATTCTGCAGGTGTTTTGATAATAAATTTGTTTTAAAATAAATTGGGGATGAAAGGGGAAAGAGAGAGGGTGACAAGAGGTCAAGAGCTTTGAGTTCTGATCCTTTTAACAGTCATGGAGGACGGGAATTTTAAAAGCACCTGGATCTGGTCAATGATGAGAGAATGCTTAAAGCAGCACTGGAGAACATCAGTGGCCCATCAGCTGTTTGCTGGACTAAAACTCCCATCAACCCCTGACTATTGGCCAAGATGGCTGGGGCTGATAGTAGTTGAAGTCCAACAAGAAATGGAGGACCACGGGTTCCCCACCCTTTATCCAAGGAGAGGGATTCCACTCTCACATGAAGGAATGTCTCTTCTATATAGAGGCATCCTTCCACCTCTTGCATGCAGTAGTGGAATACTCCTTCTTAGATCAGGGATGGGGGCCTGGGGGCCCTCCAGATGTTGTTGGACCACAATTCCCATCTGACCATTGTCAGTGTGGCTGGCGGGGGTTGATGGGAGCTGGAAGTCCAGCGTCAGAGGGCACCACATGTTTCTTACACCTGTTTTAGATAAGAATTGAGCTAGGTGGCCCGCTATAGACTATTTTGTTACAACAGTTTATATTCTAGAGGGCTTTTTTGAGTTTTGTTGCTCTTGGCATGGCAGGAGAGTAGGAAAAAATGAGATTGTGAGCCCCCAAGGGCAGGGCCTCATCACTGCTTTTAACTGATGCTTATCTTAGGAGTTTTGTTAAAGGATCTGATGATGATTTAGACAAAGTCCCATATTTCAGTCCTCCCATTGGGCGGGGGGTGGGGGGAACCTATTTGCAGTACATTCTCTTCCATAGCCAGTGCTGCTGAGTCCATAGAGTGTTTGCAATCCAAAGCGATAACCCAGTGCTCCCACCAGATTTCCTGAGAATCCCACTTTTTTCTTTTTTTTTTTTAATGATGGGCAAATTTCTAGTCCTCATGATAATTCTTTTAAAGGTGATGTCTCTGCTTCTTCCTGGGGTGGAGGTGGGACACACAGTGATATTGCTGAACCAAGTCTTATTTGTGTTTTAACACTTTTAAAAGGGACCCCTTGCTCTGTTTTTGTTCCATTTTTATTTTAGGACTATTTATTTTTATGTGTGTGGTGTTTTTTTAAAAAAATACAAAGTTCCATTCTCACTCAATCCTTAGTGCCTGGGGCAAGTTAAAAATGCAGGGATAGAAAAAACAAAAATGACATTAGAAGGGACCCTATTCTGAATGTTGATGTGTTCATCCATCAGTTGATGGCCAAGCAAGGAGATGTTCGGGACTGGATGTTCACAGACCTCTGGGGGAAAAGACAGCCCCACAAGTGGGTAGGGGAGGCTGCCCGTAAGGGCATCTCTTCTGCTTTGAAGATTGGGGTTCCCAAACCTTGGTCTGTGGACTACCAGTAGACCACGAGCTTCATTCAGGTGGTCTGTGGTGTGTTTGTAAGCTTGTGGTTGAACATGGGAAAGAGCCCATCAGTCATTGTACTGAGAGAGGCTTTTATTTCTTTAGACGCAATGATGGCCAATCAAACCTTCCCACCCACTACCCCCAAAATAAAATAGGAATTTAAAAAGATATCTTCCTATATACAGTATGGAGAAATGCAAGGTGCCGTTATGCTCTGCAGTTTGCATGGCCGCCAGTAGGGGGCAGTGTCAACTACAGCATGAAGAACAGGTGAGCTATTTTAACAGGGAAGGGAAGCACTGCAAAGCACCTACTCCCTACACTAAAAAGGCATGCAACAAGGCTTAGGGGGGGGGAGGTCTTCACACAGAAGCTGAGCAAGCTCTTGTGTGAAGCAACACCCCCCCCCAATTAAACACAGCTAGAGTTAGGTTTAATGGAAGGCAGAGTGGTCCTTCATAAAGTGGTTTAACAAGCTGCTTTCTATTAACACCTCCCCCCTCCATTAAATGTGCCTGCAGTGAGGCTTAACATAGAAGGGAGAGGAGCTTCACACAGCTGTTAAGCAAGCCACTCTGTGAATTGCCACCCCCTCCTTTAAAAGGGGTGGGGCTTAGGGCAAGCTGTGGGGGGGGGGTGTGGATAGGTGAGGTGTAAAGGGAAGAGAGGTTGGTCAGGTGTCGCGGAAAGCCAAAAGGGGTAGATGGGGTTAGCAAGTAAAGTGAACATGCGCGGTAGCTGTATTGGTGCACAGCTGGGGAAGGCAACAGCAGGGCTGGCAACCCCTAGTACATTATAAAATGAAATTACAAGTTACCAAAAAAAAAGCTTGGCTAAACAATTTTTAGCAGGCACCAGACGCAGTGTGTCTTCCTCACTCCCCTGGTGTAAATGCATTGGGAATATATCAGACAGGCAAAGCTGGGCTTGTTGCTTTCCCACCCTACGTCTGCAGGGTTGTTTGAGAACTGACACCTCCATGGGGAGGGGACCACATCTGGTGCCTCTTTGAGGGTTGTTGTTGTTGTTTTTACAGTCAAGTGGTATACAAATATTATGCAATCAATCAATTGGGAGAGGGGGGTATGAAGCCACTGCTATCCATGCAGTTGTAGCCCAGATCATGGCAGGCACATATAGAGCCACCACACATGGGGTGGTGGAGGGGCTAGTTTTTGGTTCTCGCCAATGGCATTTTGCCAGGAGCACTGCTTGGTGGTAGCCCCTGTAAGATCCTGCAGAAGGTGCAGCCAGTGGTGAGATGATTTGTAGATTTGAGAGAACATTGGCAAATATCCCTCAGCCACCAGGAAAGTAAGATAAAGGTAAAAGGGAGAGAATTTCACCCAAATTTGATAGTTGTTGAATGTGATTTCTTTTCTCATTAATTGATGGAGAATGATCAAGGTGGGGTGGGAAATGCAGGAGGGATCCCCCCGGCACAATTTTAGAGTGGCTCATTCCCTCCAAGGGAGCTGGCTCTGGAGCAATATGGCCACCTTAAGCTTTTACTCTTCCATCTTCCCCTGCCAGTTGAAGGCTGTCCATGAGCAACTTGCTGCTCTCTCGCAAGCCCCCGTGAACAAGCCAAAGAAGAAGAAGGAGAAGAAGGAAAAAGAGAAAAAAAAGAAAGACAAGGAAAAAGAGAAGGAGAAAGAGAAGCACAAGGCAAAGGCTGAGGAAGAGAAGAAGGTGAAGGTCACTCAGCCGGTGAAGCAGGCCCAGCAAAAAAAGCCACCGGCCAAGAAGGCCAACAGCACTACCACCGCAAACAGGTAAAGGGGAGATGTGTAGTGGTCTGGGGTCACTGTTTCTGCAGCATGGTCCCTGTCTCCGATGTTACGGCCTAGGACCCTCGTACCTATGGGACCTCCTCTCCTGGTATGCCCCACGGAGGACCTTAAGGTCCATAAATAGCAACACCCTAGTGGTCCCGGGCCCTAAGGAAGTTAGATTAGCCTCAACCAGAGCCAGGGCCTTTTCAACACTGGCTCCGGCCTGGTGGAACGCTCTGTCTCATGAGACCAGGGCCCTGCGGGATCTGATTTCTTTCCGCAGGGCCTGTAAGAAAGAGTTGTTCCACCTGGCCTTTGGCTTAGAATCAATTTGATTCCCTTCCCCTCTTTTCCCCCCTTTCTCCTCCTGTGAAGAGGCTGCATCCTAATGTTTTAATGTTGTATCTTAATCTTTTAAATTGTATTTTAATCAACTTCTTTTTATTATTGGTTGTTAGCCGCCCTGTGCCCGGTCTTGGCTAGGGAAGACCGAGTATAAATAAAAATTTATTATTATCAAAGCCACCCAATCGGCATTGAATGGGGGCTTTTTAAGTCACTGAAATGTGGGAATTAAACTCTAGTTCCCATTTACAGAGTTACGCAGAAGAGAGCCCGGGTCGTCTGACCCTTTCATTAGTTCCCTTTCCCTCCTATTAAAAAAATATGCAAGACACTCCCTGTTTAAAGCTTAAATAACAAACAACTTTTACTCAGTGTGCTTGCACTTGTTAGATTAAATATACAAGGCAGGCAGATGTTACTTCCATTACTAATACATATTACACCTAAGACAACAAAAGACCGCTGCAGACTGACCTAACTCTGAGGTAGACAGCAGCATAACGGAACATACCTGCTGCTCCGACTGTGAAGACTGTTAATAACTGCCATAACTGAACCAACGGAAAATAACTGCCTCGGCCTGTGACATCACAGAGTTCTATAGCCCTTTGTTAGCGTTAACCCTTTTACTTAGCAATTTGGATGCTTCATCCCACGAAAAAAGAAGCTTCCTCCTGCTCTGTGCTGACTGGAACTAATCTGAAGGAAAGGAGGAGTTGGTCACAGAGGATCAGCTCCCAAGTTTGCATGGGAAAGCCCCCCTGAGGAGGAGGTGGTTTTGGGGGGATTTTTTTTTAAAAAAAATATTTTAAAAATTTCTTGCGTTACAAAAGTACGGGCGTTGTCTCTATTTCCATAGAGTCTTTTCTACAAATCAGTTATATTCAGTGTGAGGCATTGATGTTGTACACAGTATAAAGTTGGGAGGAGAAGAAAGAGGAGGGGAGGGGGTGGTAAACATAACATTATTTTACTTAAGTGTATGTGTGAGGTTTTTGTATTGGCGTGACTTGGGCCACCTGCTCTTTATAGCACTGCAGCTCCAGCCCTTTGTAATTAGTTGCCACATTGTGTGTGTGTGTGTGTGTGTGTGTGTGTGTGTGTGTGTAAGTTTCCCCAAAGTGTGTGACCCATTTGTTTTATGGAATATTAATAGCACATTTGCAGAAATTGTTTAAGGGGGCTGAAACCAATGCTAGCCCTACTCCGTGTAGATTCACTGAAATTGATGGCCATGATGAACTTGGGTACAATAATTTCAATGTGTCTACTCTGAGTAGAAATTAGTTGGGTACTGCTCCTCATGTTTGGTGCTTGTAGAAATGTTTTCACTGGAAGTGGAAAGCGAGAGGGTTTGGTGAGTAACACAAGCAGGGAAGGCAGCCCCTAGTTATTCCCTGCTTGTGTTGCTCACCAAACCCTTTCTCTTTCCATTTCGCCACAAACCTCCCTCCCCTCACAGTGGGGAGCAAATTAACTTTGCAGGCAATAATAGCAAAGTAACTTTGCAGGCAGCCGAAAAAAGGCGGGAAACAGGTTCCTGTGGCCTATGATTCGGATGAGGAGGAAGAGGGACTCCCCATGACCTACGATGAGAAGCGCCAACTCAGCTTGGATATCAACCGCTTGCCGGGGGAGAAGCTGGGCCGGGTGGTACACATCATCCAGTCAAGAGAGCCCTCACTCCGGGACTCCAACCCCGATGAAATTGAGATAGATTTCGAAACCTTGAAGCCTACCACGTTACGGGAGCTGGAGAGATACGTCAAATCCTGTTTGCAGAAGAAGCAACGGAAGCCATTCTGTAAGTGGAGGGAGCCTTCCAGGAGCCATCCTGAAATGAGCAGGGCCATATCTTAATTATTTTTATCTACCTATATATTGCATTCATATCCCACCTTTCCCTCCAAGGAATTCAAAAAGGCATACATGAGTCTCTTCCCCCTCCTCATTTAATCCCACTCATTTAATTCCCACAACAACCCAGTGAGGTAGGCTAAGCAACAACTGGTCCCAAAGGTTGTAAACAATGAACTTCTTTTATTTTTAGGGGGTGGCCCACTTCTCAGTGCCAGAGGCTATGCTTGCATGCAGAAGGTCCTGGGTTCATTAGAGATGCCATTCAGGTTTAAACCTGGGACCTTCTGCATGCAAAGCAGATGCCCTGCTACTCAGCTATGGCTTTTCCTCTAAACATGGCATGATTCTAATCCTCATAGTTCTGAGGAAAGGGCTGGATTATTTAATAGGAACATAGGAAGCTGTTTTATACCGAGTCAGACCCTTGGTCCATCCGGCTGAGGGACATCTATGCTGACTGGCAGAAGCTCTTTCCCCAGCCTTACGTGGAGATGTCACTGGGCATTCATCAAAGCCGGTGCTCTACCATCTAAGGCCCTTCCCTCACTCACAGTGGCATAACATGGGTTGTCAGCACCCAGGACAAGGTCCAAAACCCGTCTCTCTTCCTCCATCTCCTCTGTGTTTGCCTTGACCTTCCCCACCAGCCTGTCAAAAGAAGCTTCCTTCAAGGCTGTTCCCCCAGGGCAACTGCCCCAATTGTCCCCCACACTACTCCACTTCTCAGGTTTTGGAGTTGGGGAGATGCAATTGCATAACCCACAAGAGGCCATCTGACCCTCCCCCATCCAGCATCTCTTGGGAGTCATTGGCATGAGGATGCAAAAGACAATGGTTGCTGACTCTTCCTTCTCTCTCCACATGTCACCAATTGTGCCTTTCTCCACCGCAGCTGCAAGTGGGAAGAAGCAGGTGGCAAAGTCGAAGGAGGAGATTGCTCAGGAAAAGAAGAAGGAGCTGGAGAAGAGGCTTCAGGATGTCAGTGGGCAGTTGAACAACAACAAGAAGCCTGCGAAAAAAGGTGAACAAAACCTCCTCCCTTCCTGTATGCATTTACTAACTGCATCTGATTCCCTGTTTTGTCCTCACAACTTTGTGAGGTAGGTTAGGCTGAGAAGAAGGGGCAGGAGAGTGTGACCGCCCCAGTAGACTTCATGACCAAATGGAGGATTTAAACCCATGCCTTCTTGGTCCTGGCCTCTAACACTCCTGATTCCTGCATTGCAGGGGGTTGGACAAAATGATCCTTTGGGGCTTGCAGTTCTGTGATTCTAACCACTATACTGTGTTGGCCATTGTGAACCTGCAGCCTTCCCTATGCAAAGCTTTGCATGCAGGACCATCTCTCCTAATATCAACCATCCTGGCCATTGTGCACATTATCTGAAGCCCTTCTTCACGTGCCTCCTCCACAAGCGAACTGGAGGGTGGCAACACAAGAACAGACCTTTTCTGTGGTGGCTCCCCATTTGTGTGATGCTCTCCCCAGAGGCACTCGCCTGGCGCCTTCCCTGCCTATATTTAAGCACCAGATAAAAGCATTCCTCTTCTCCCATGCCTTTGACTAATTAAACAATCTATGGACTTTTAAACTGAGGAGGGGGATGTTATTGTTTGTAACTATGGGTTTTTGTTCATTTGTTTTTATATTTTAAACCACCCTGTGATACTTGGATGAAGGGCTGTATAGAAATGCAAATAATAATAATAATAATAATAATAATAATTAATGATGTCCAAGTACATAGGAAGATGCTGTTGGATCATGCCAAAGGGAGCCCATCTAGTTTTGTATGCTGTTTTCACAGTGACCACCCAAATGCTCCAACTGGAAGCCAGTAGGTAGGATCTGAGCAACAGCAACTCTCTCCACTTGTGATTCCAAATAATTGGCATTCCAAAGCATAACTGACAGTGGTGGAAGAGCATAGCCATCTTGGCTGGTTGCCATTCATAGTCTTCTCCATGAATTTGTCCAACCCTCTTTTGAAGTCATTGAGGTTGGTGGCCATTACTGCCTCCTGCTGGAGTGAGTTAACTATGTCCAGAATTAGACTTCATCACTCCTGGGGATTTTTATTTAGGGACCTAACAGGGAAGGAGGTTTTGTTTTGGCTGCATTCACACAACAGTTTATTCCACTTTAATGATGTTCCCCAACCAATTACAGTTGAGCTTCCACATGGTGTAAGAGCCAGTTTCGTAAATCTAGAGGAACATAGTACATATTTAGCACTCATTTCTGTGATGCCAGAAAAAATCCATTTGCAGCCTCCTTAACCCAGAAAATCATGGGAGCAAAGAGATAAAATGTGGGGCAGTTACGCCAACCATACAGTTCTCTTCTGCCATTTTCATGGGGAGATTAATGGGGGAACAGAAGTGTGCTTGTGCAAAAAGGGTGGAGGAGTAGCACTGATGCCCAGTGACATTTGTCGTTCCACAACTGGTACGAATGAAATTTAGCACAACGTTCCAGTATATTGGTTTAAAAAGCCACAGTGTCATAACTTAGAGGGTAGCTGGAGGTTTTTAAGCAGAGGTTTGATAGCCATCTGTCATGGATGCTTTAGTTGGTATTCCTGCATTGCAGGGAGTTGGACTAGATGACCCTTGTGGCCCCTTCCAACTCTACGATTCTTTGAGTCTATGATCCTTCTAATGCAACAGGTACTGCAATGTGAAACGAGTGTTAGAATATGGGACAGAAGCACTAGTGTTTTCATCCGGGATCCTAATTCAACGTTCCACACGTCTGAATGCACTATTTTTAGCCTAGAGAAGTTGAATCTTAAATATCCAGGCTGAAGATTGCTTTCACCTAAAATGCTATTTCTTTTCTCATTTCTTTTGCTAGAAAAATCTGGCTCCACCCTTTCTGGAGGCCCCTCTCGCCTGAGCAGTAGCAGCTCCTCGGAATCGGGGAGTAGCAGCTCAAGCTCCACTTCGGACAGTAGCGATTCAGAATAAAGCAACAGACCCTTAAACGCTCCCGGACAGCGAATGGACGTCTCACAGGCACTTGCCCCGGAAAGTTCTGCAGCGTCCCCTTTTGCTTCTTCCTCGTTACTATATTTTTTTAAAAAAACAAACCAGCCTGCTTTCTTGCAACAGGACCAGCTCTGCATCTCATTCCACCCCTCTACTTTTAATTTTTCTTTTAATTCAGTGTTATAAAACCTTCCAGAATTTAATTTCCTCCCCCTACTTTCCCCACCCAGCTTTTATTAGGTTGCAAGATCTTTTTGGGGTGTGTGTGTGGCTAGACTTTTTAAGGCAAGAACTTTCCCTTGCATATAAGGTCTCTAAACTTTTTTTAAAAATCAAATCATTGAGACGTCTTTTGGTGACCAACAGCAAGAGATGTGGGAACTGGAGAGATGAGTAAAAAAAATGTTTGCGAGATGTAATATTAAAAAAGGGGGTGTTTTTGGTAACTTTTCTCTCTTACTCTTCCCTCCTCCCCCATGGAAATTCCTTTTTAATACAGCCCAAGACTCAGCTCAGTGCTGCTGCTGATGCGGAGTGGGGAACTTTATAAATGGGGTGGGGTGGTGGGGAGGAGAACCTCTCTGTAAAACGGTACTGTATCTGAAAGACGTTAGCTTTTGAAGTAGTTGATTGTATTTGTTGCTAGCACTAGTATTCCTAACCTCCAAGGGGCCCAATCCACCATGGAATGCTCCTGGGCATGCCCCCTTCTCTCAAATGAGAGGGAGGTGTACAAAATGCACCTCTCCCGTTTGTTTTGGTGGGGTGGGAGTACAGAGACCATGAGCAGACCTTCCTTGTGGATTGGGCCCTGCGTCTACATGTGTGCTGAAGAGCATCATTATATATATATATATATATATAAATATATTATATATATATGAGGGAAGGAGGAGAAGAAAGCTCACGTACTGTGGATTGTTTTAAAAATGTACCTTTTTAGATATTTCTTTTAAACTTTTTTTTAAGTAAAAAAAATTGATACTAGAGATTTGTGCTTCTGTTATGAGAGGTTGGCTGACCTATTAAAGCTAGCAGATGAAATTGTTGAAACTCAAAAAACAAAAAACTGATTTGGCTACAGGATGGGAAAAGGAGAGGTTGTTGTCGCTCTGGGTGTGTGCATGGAGGAGGTTGAGAGGCATACAATACACATCACAAGCATTAGCTTTAAAAAAAAGTCTGGGAATGGTCCAATCCCATTGTGCACACCTAGAGCGCAGGAAGAACGTCACTGATGTAGAACTCTGGGTGAACCCAATGACCTTTTCTCGGCAATCTGCAAACCTTGGTTGGTGCTGGTGCTGGGGGTAGTAGTCCTTTCCAGTTTTGCTTGCTGTTGTTAAGGATCTGTGAAGTATTGGTTTGCATCCAACCAAATTCCCCTCAAAAGTAGACCCACTGAAATGAATGGATCTAAGTTGGTTGGGTACCCCTTACTTTCACTTGGTCTGCTCTAAGCAGCACCACATTCACATCATACATTTAAAGTGCTATGAGACCACTTTAAACAGTCATGGCTTCCCACAAAACATCCTGGAAACTGTGGTTTGTTCAGGTTGCTAAGAGTTGTTAGGAGACTCCTCATCCCCTTCCAGAGCTGCAATTTTCAGAGTGGTTTAACAATCAATCCCTCTTCACAGGTAACTGCAAACCATAGTTTTGGGGAAGGAATTGGGGGCTTGGGGTATAAGCACCATGAACAAACTAATTCCCAGAATTCTTTGAGGGAAGCCATGGTGGTTGAAAGTAGCACTATAGTGCTTTAAATATGTGGTGTGAATGTGGCCTAGGACTAGCAATTGGATACACCCCTTGATTTAACATTTGTACAATATTCTGTAGCGATGGCTTTTAAAAAACGAAACCCTCTCACCCTGGTCAGTCTGTTACTTGGGACCTTTTCTATGTGATGTCATTCAGTCTCTTTGCCCTAGGTCCACATCATCCTTTTGTTGAGGTAGGAAGTACCGTGGTACCTCTGGTTACGTACGTAATTTGTTCTGGAGGTCCGTTCTTAACCTGAAGCACCACTTTAGCTAATGGGGCCTTCTGCTGCCGCCACGCCGCCGGAGCACAATTTTTGTTCTCATCCTGAAGCAAAGTTCTTAACCCGAGCTACTATTTCTGGGTTAGCAGAGTCTGTAACCTGAAGTGTGTGTAACCTGAAGCATATGTAACCTGAGGTATCACTGTATTCACATTAGCCAGTGAGGCATGGGGCACCACTGTCCAGTTTTTGTGAGGTCCAGACTTTTGAGAGGTCCGGACAACATATGGAAGCCATCTGCATCCTGAGTAGCTGTTGTGGTGTTCCTCCATGAGGAATGTTTGGAGAGCTTCTAACAACACAAACCCTACTGGATCAGACCAATGGCCCATCTAGTACAGTATCCTGTCCTCATGGTGGCACCTGGGCTTAGGTGATGTGATGCCTTCTGGAGGTGACTGGACTCCAAACTCCCATGGCCTCCAGCTAGTGTGACCAACAGCCAAGGATGCTGGGAGCTGGTGTTCACCAGCATTTGAAGGGCACCATGTTGACTGCAGGAGGCAGTCCTTGGTTGCTGAGAAGTTGTTAAGAGCTACAATTCCCAGGGTGCTTAAACAATCGGTACCTCTTCTCGGGGATGCCCATATGCTACTGGGCTAAATTCAAGGTTATTGCATTAATTTACAGGGCCGTTAATAATCTGGGCCAGGGTAACTTGATCACCTTGAATCCCTTATATCGCTGCCCAATTACTGAGCTCTTCAAGGGAGTTGGTAATCCCCTGTGACTTGGATGCATGGCTCATGTCAACCAGGAGCCATGTTGCGTTCAGTGTTGTGGCCCCAGATTTGTGGAACTCCATTCCAGTTGAGGTCAGACAGACCCTCTCTCCCTGTTGATCTTAAAGTTCCTAATGAAAACTTTTTTTATTATTATTCCAGCAGCTATTTCAATTTTATAGTTTTAACTGATATTTTTTTAAGAAAATATATTGTATCTTTGTTAAGAGACTCATTGTAGTGAAGTGGTATATAAATTGTTTAAATAAACATAAATTGTGATATTGTGATAGGAATAGGGGGTTTCCTAACAACTCCCAGCACCCTCAACAAAGAACAGTGTCCAGGATTCTTTGGGGAAAACTATGCCTGCTTAAAGCGGTATCTTAGCGCTTTAAATTTATGTGGTCTATGTTAGGTCCTATCTACACCATACACTTAAAGCATTACGATACAACATTAAACAGTCATGGCTTCTTCCTACAAAGAATCCTGGGAACTGTGGCTTGTTCAGGGTGCTGAGAATTTCTGGAGACCCCTATACCCCTCACAGAGCTACAATTTCCAGAATTCCCTGTGAAGAGGGATTGACTGTTAAACCACTCTGGGCACTGTACGTCTGGGAGGAGGAATAGAAGGATTTCCTAACAACTCTCAGCACCCTCAGCAAACAACAGTTCCTGGGATTATTTGTGGGAAGCTATGCCTGTTTAAAATGGTTATATAAGAGTGTGCTGTAAATGTATAGTGAGGATGTGGTTAACCATAGAGCCAATTGCTTAACTTAAGGGCACATTCTTGGCTTAGCGGGTCACTGAGGTGCATAGTTGAGACCCAAGCAAAGCCCCCCCAAATAGGAAATGAATTGGGGGGAGGGTGAATCTCTCTTGATTCCTTTTTAAACCCTTTTTTTCTAACAGTGGAAAGAAGCTCTTAAGACTGGAAAGCTACTTCTGTGTTGTGAAAGTGCAGGTTTCCCAAATAAACCTTTTACCTCAAAGGAAGGGGGGAGGGGCTACACTGGGGTGCGTGTGGGGGTGGGGAGAGATAACAACACTTTTGTAAGATTCATCAATTTTTCTAGAAACTATTTTCTCCAGTCTGGATCCCTGCACTTTTTTCAAAAGACACACTCCATAATTAACTGTCCCTTGTTTTGTTTTTGTCTTCTTGTATATACAAGTAACTTTATTTATTAACACCAATGGTCACTTAAAAAACAAACTATCCTGCATTTTGAAGAGTGACAGAAGAAGAAGAAAAATGCAGATTTGTCTTGGTATTTTTTTTTTAAGAAAGAAAAACAAAGTTCTAAAGAATTGGGAGTACTTTTAATTTAAATGTATTTGACTTTAACCAACAGGTGCTATGGCTCTTTGATAGTTTCCTGTGCTGGGTGCTTAATTCCTTATTTGTGTATTCAGGGGTTTTTTTCCCCCAGGGATGGGTTTAGGGTGGGGATTTGTTTGCTTTCTTTTTTTGTACAGACTTTGGACTTGACAGGTATTAGTACCTTCCAGATAAAAGCATGATTTATTTGTATATTCCTAGTTACCCCCCTTTCCAGGTCAGTCTCTGTATCTTTAATTGTTTTAAAAGTAGAACAGTTTGGAAAAAAATAATAATAAAGGAACAAAGACCCTGATTTATTTATGTATTTTTTGAAGCAAATGCCACTTCTGTAATACACACGTTTGTAAAGCCTTGGGGGGGGGTGTTGGGCAAATGTGTGATGATCACAACTCTGTTTTCAATTTATTGTGCAGCAGAGTTAATAAAAGTTGTAGGATTGGAAGTTGCAATGCAGAAATCACAACTAAAGAAACCATGACAGATGGTCATTCAATCATTGCTTAAATTCCTCCAAGGAAGGAGAGTCCACCACCTTCAAAGGGAGTCTGTTCCACCGTCAAACAGCTCTTACTGCCAGAAATCTCCTTGCAACTTGAAGCTATTGGTTTGGGTCCTAACCTCCAGAGCAGGAAAAAACAAGCTTGCTCCATCTTCCATCATTTCTCCTCTTCTTTGGGCTAAAAACACCCAACTCTTGTAACCATTCCTCACAAGTTAACCTAAGGTTTCTTTGGGATTGCCAGACCAATCCTTTTTTAAAGCCATTGATGTTGGTCGCCATCACTGCCTCCTGTGGGTGTGAATTCCATAATTTAACCAGGTGCTGCATGAAGGAGGACTTTTTTAAAAATCTGCCTACAAAGGGACCACATCTGGCAGCACAGCAGAGGTCCCAAGCTGCCCCAATCTTTACCAAGGTCTACAGAGGAAGGAGGAAGCTTGGGAGAGAAGTAAAATCAAATCTGGGCAGATGAGATTTTGCTGTTTTTTTATGCCAAGTTAGGTCCATCAGTTTCCACTCGACCACCCAAGGCAACCAAGATCTTGCTTGCCCTTCATCAGCTAACTCCCACCCCCACCGCACCATGGCAATGCTAAGCTCCAACCCATCTCACTAGGCTTTGCTCCTCAGTTCTTCACATCTCGGTGACTTGGATCTAAAAGGGTTTAGGTTATACTTCCAGTTCCCACATCTCAGCAGTAGGGTCCAAGAAGCTGCCTCTGCAGGGTTGCCAGACCTCCAGCTCTCATCTGAAGCCTCCTTTTTCTGAGCCATAGGTGGCCGGTGGAGGTATTGAATCTCCAGGTGGGCAGGAGAGCCTGGGAGGAGCTGGCTACAAATTATAGCATAGACACTATGCAGTGTGTGCCCACCTCCCCACGTCTCTCCCAATTAACCATCTGCAGGACCTTCTGTGGGGTGGCATCACCCTAGGCTTCAGGTTGGGGCCTTGAAATCTCAGCATCTGGGATTCTCTAGACCTGGCAGCTGTTGGTTTCAATGACTGGTGGCAGCAATGCTTCTGCATACCAGTTGCTGGAAACCACAAGGATAGGGGACTGCTCCTTGTGTTCAAATCCTGCTTGTGGACTTCTCATGACCACTTTGGGAACAAAATGGACTAGATGGGCCACTGGCCTGATCCAGCAGGCTCTTATTTTCTTATATTGTTCCAGTCCTGTGGTTCATTTTATCCTGTTCCTCAAAGCTCAGAATGGTGTAGGTAGCTGTATTTTTGCCCCCCTCCACCAGTTGTGTCCTATCAACTACCCTGTGAGGTAGGTTGCATCTTGCAGAGCTACATCTTTCCCCTAAAATAAAGTAATATTCTAGTCCTTGTAGTTCTAAATAACTAGTTGAATTAAATAGGAGCATAGGAAGCTGCTTTATGCAGAGCTCAGACCCTTGGTCCATTTAGGTCAGTACAGTCTACACTGACTGGCAGCAGTGGCGCTCTTGAGATTTTAGGCAAGGGGCATTCCCAGATATCCTTGCAAATGGCATTCGGGATTGGGACCTTCTCCATACAAAGCAGGTGCTCTGCCACTGAGCTGCATCCCCTCCCCTAAATTTAAGTCAGGGTCTGCAGGAGGGTGGAGGCCTAGAGAACCTGATTAACCAAAGTGTGTGACATGGAACATTTGAAAGCTGTAGAGCTGGAAAGAACCTCAAGGGTCACTACAGCTGCTCCTCTTGTGCCCTACCCAAGAGGCAATAGGAACTCCCAGAATGCCCTAAGTCCGGTGCCTGTCCAAGCTAAATTGAACTGACAATCTCTGCAAAACAGACTTTGCATTTGGCAGTCAGAGTGTGTCCACACAAAGAAGCAATAATTTGCTGCAGCCACTGACACAGGTATCCCTTCTTCATTTTTAATACTGCAAGTGATGAACAAAAGGCATTTGGTTGCAGAGAGAAGTGTACATCTTTAAAAGAGGTTTTTTTAAAACAAACAAAACAAAACTCTTCTGAACTGTTCCCAGCCACTTCCATCCCCAAGACCTAGCGTAGTTCTGTTAGCACATCAACAAGTTAACACAGCAGCAATTTGACAGTCCTGGCCCTAGAAAGCAAAGTCCAAGCTTGCATTCATGCCTGCTTCAGCGTGAGAGGATGAATGGGGCAAACTCGTGTCCATGAGAGATAACCTATTCACTTCAATTGCCTGCCTCCCTTAGCAAAAGAGAAGTGCTCATGCAGGTGGGTTATCATATTATTTTCCAGATCCTGCTTGTTTTAGAGGGAGACCGCTATGTGGACATTTAGCAGGCGAAGCTGGCATGGAAATGGGTGGTGGTGGAATGCCTCCTGTTTGTAAGCAGCCAGGGGTAAAGGTGTGTTAGAGCAGGTGTTTTGAACTGCACTGCCTACCTCCCCAAAATGGCCCCTATGTGACTCCTCTCCAGAACAGATGATTGGGAATAAATCTTTGCCTACATCAGCACCACTTAAAACAGATAGGGAGATTGTGGCTCTCAATGGTGATGTCAGGTGAATGGTACAGGGTAACATCTGGAAGACCCCGGGCTCCCCACCTTCAAATTCCATCTGTAATGGAGAGTCCTGGGTGGGATAGGGGTGGGTGAGTGAGGACTAGACATTCACTGTTGTCTATCAGGAACAGCCTTTCGCAGAGTAGCAGCAAATGAAGTTTCAAAATTGATTTGGACAGATTCAACGAATGTAGGCAAACCTGAGGCCCCTGAAAATCCATTTCCCAAATTGCTTCGGGAACACCGTCCAAAAATGCAGTAGAAGATAAATAGAGCTACAACATAAAAAATAAAACTTTTTTTTAAAAAAGGAAAACCACTTTCTGGGTCCATTTTGGTTAGCCTAGAGATTGGGCTCGCTTGCTCACTCTTAGCTCTTGAAATCACATCACGCTGCAAAACCTGGATTGTCCAGTATCCCTGGGGATGTCCGCTTTGTTCTTATCCCGCACCAAGATCGCCTGGTTGCCATATTGTGAGTACCACATGCTGTGGCTCCTGTTCAGGTACGTTCCTGGTGGCAGAGACTCAAGTTTCTGCTGCTGCTGCTGCCAGATCAGCAAAGAGGCATCCCTGTACCGGAGACGAGCAAAAGTCTCGGACAAAGCTTTCTCGGCCAGGGGTGGCCGTCCGCTCATCCCCACGGCTACCACCTGTTCACAAAATATGAAGGAAGCCTTGTTGCCATTGTCTTCCGGCTGTGGCTCAGGGCTTATAGGGGAGGTGTTCTGGGCTAGGAGAGAAATGCTGCCAGACACAGCAAGTGCAGGAGGCGTAAGGGCGGCCTGTGGTCACAACAGGAATCACTCCAGCTATGGACACATCATCAGAAGGCGCTTGATTCAAAGGGCAAAAAACAGGCTCCACCCAAGTCTATTAGGCTCCTGCAATCCAGTTCTGCCCTGGAAATTCTCACGAGTCCATATAACGCAGAAGGGTTAAAGGTTACTCAGAACCATGAGGACCATCATCTTAATCTTAAGGAGAGGGCTGTACCAAGATGGTAGAGTCCTGATACAAGAGACAGCCCATTCTCAAGAGTCCTTTTGCACCTTCCCTTGCATCTCTTCCTTGCTGTGACCTCTTTCAGCCCCCCTCACCCACCTCTGCTTCCTAATCTTGTCTACCTTTTGAACTCACCTGCCCCAGTTTATTGCTTCTTCAGGGACTGGAGAACAAGGAGCCATCAGGACTATGCTGGGAAATAGAGGAGTATGGGTGACGTTCTTTTTCAAGTCAAATGGGGAGGGATTTGATGATTGATTCTTGAACTTGACTAAAGGACAGTTTGGTATTCTCTTGCTTCCTCAGAGGATGGAAGTCAAGCTGAGTGTAGATGACACATCTGTTTCCATGGAGAGAGAGTGCCAGAATGCTGGATGCTGGGACCATCTCCAGAACTGGTTGTGGACTTTTTCTACTCATTGCCAACTGGGCTGGGATCAAATCCAAGTCACTTCTCTTTGATAAGGAAGAATCTGCAGAACAATCAGAGATAGTTAGGATACGAGAATGCAGGAGCATAGCAGAGATTGATAAAAGCATTCCAGGTTTTTGGCATATGAACATAAGCTGCCTCCTAATGAGTCAAACCACAGGTCCATCTAGCTTAGTACTGTCAACACTGACTGGCAGCAGCTCACCATAGTTTTAGGCAGGGGACATTTTCAGGGCAAAACTGGATTGTAGAGCCTCAGCACTAATAGACTCAGATGGTCCTGGTTGCTTTGCTCTTTGAGTCAGACTACTGGTCCCGCTAGCTTAGTATTGTCTACACAGGCTGAGAGTAGTTCCTCAGGTTTCAGGGGCAGGCCTTTTTGGAGGTGCTGGGGACTGAACCTGGTACATTTTGCATGGAGAACGACTGTTCTACCACGGAGCCACAGGCTTCCCTCCAAGCACAGTTATAGCCTAGCAGTAGAGCACAAGCTTTGTACACGAAAGGTCCTGGGTCTAGTCCCCAGAGGCATCTCCATGTAGGTCTGGGGCGGAAAAGACTGCCAGTACTGAGTTGTTTGTTTTGCTTAATTAACAAACTCTACAGACTTGCTTATTCAGCCAATCGATAAATCTCTGAAGTGGTTTACACGCAGCAGTCTGAAATATTTATAAGAAACACAGATAAAACTAACAAACTTTAAGAACAAGGAGACAACAACAAATTATCAAAACAGAGATAAAGTCAACAGATTTTAAAAACAAATGCTAATTATCAAAACATAGATAAAGTCAACAGATTTCAAAAACAAACACTCATGACAAAACAACATGTTTGGCTTGACTCGGCTAAGCAAAAAGCTTGGAGGAAAGTGCCTTGTTTTAAGACGCCTGAGTTTCTGTCCTAGAGGACTTACAAGGAGGATGCTTTTTTAACATGTACTTTGATAAGAACATAAGAAGCTCTTGCCGGATCAAGGCAAAGGGGGTCCACTGTCAAAACAGCATCCTGTTCTCACAGTGGCCAACCAGATGCCCCAATGAGAAGACCACAAGCAAGAACTGAGAAGAACAGCAGCAACTCTCCATCAACTGGCGTGCAGAAGCAGCCTGCCTCTGATACTGGAAGAAATACCATAAGAAATGCCCTGCTGTTGGATCGGACCAATGGCCCATCTACTCCACCATCCTGTTCCCACAACAGCCAACCAGATTCCTTAATGGGAAAACCGCTAGCAGCACCCAAGTGGAACAGCAACTTTCCCCATTTTTACCAATCCATCTCCTTTATTGGCATGCAGAGCATATGAAAGTACAGTGGTACCTTGGTTTACGAATTTAATCTGTTCCGGAAGCCGGTTCTTAAACCGAAAGCGTTTTTAAACAGAGGCGCGCTTTCCCTAATGAGGCCCCCTGCTGCAGATGTCCTTCCACTGTTCAGATTCTGTTCTTAGACCGAGGTAAAGTTCGCAAACCGGGACACTACTTTTGCTTTTGTGGAGTTTGTAGACCAAGTAGTTCGCAAACAGGTACAGTGGTACCTCGGGTTAAGTACTTAATTTGTTCCGGAGGTCCGTTCTTAACCTGAAACTGTTCTTAACCTGAAGCACCACTTTAGCTAATGGGGCATCCTGCTGCCGCCACGCCGCCAGAGCATGATTTCTGTTCTCATCCTGAAGCAAAGTTCTTAACCCGAGGTACTTTTTCTGGGTTAGCGGAGTCTGTAACCTGAAGCATATGTAACCTGAGGTACCACTGTATAGAAGTCAAAGCATAAAACTGGAGTCTGTTCATAACGCTAGTCCTGCTGACAGCAGAGACCCACACTGCAATAGGTGGATTTTGATGCTTTTGCTGTCGACCACAGCAAACTATGGCAAGTTCTTAAAGAAATGGGAGTGACTGGTCACCTCATCTGTCTCCTGAAAAATCTCTATGTGGGACAAGAAGCTACAGTTAGAACTGGATATGGAACAACTGATTGCTTCAAAATTGGGAAAGGAGTACGGCAAGGCTGTATATTGTCTCCCTGCTTATTTAACTTATATGCAGAATTCATCATGCGAAAGCCTGGACTGGATGAATCCCAAGCCAGAATTAAGATTGCCAGAAGAAATATCAACAACCTCAGATATGCAGATGACACAACCTTGATGGCATAAAGTGAGGAGGAATTAAACAACCTTTTAATGAGGGTGAAAGAGGAGAGCGCAAAACTATGGTTTGAAGCTCAACATCAAAAAAACTAAGATCGGGGCCACTGGTCCCATCACCTCCTGGCAAATAGAAGGGGAAGAAATGGAGGCAGTGAGATATTTTACTTTCTTGGGCTCCATGATCACTGCAGATGGTGACAGCAGTCCCAAAATTAAAAGATGCCTGCTTCTTGGGAGAAAAGCGATGACAAACCTACACAGCATCTTAAAAACAGAGACATCACCTTGCTGACAAAGGTCCGTATAGTTAAAACTATGATTTTCCCAGTCGTGATGTATGGAAGTGAGAGCTGGACCATAAAGAAGGCTGATCGCCAAAGAATTGATGCTTTTGAATTATGGTGCTGGAGGAGACTCTTGAGAGTCCCATGGACTGCAAGAAGATCAAACGCATCCATTCTTAAGGAAATCAGACCTGAGTGCTCACTGGAAGGACAGATCGTGAAGTTGAGGCTCCAATACTTTGGCCACCTCATGAGAAGAGAAGACTCCCTGGAAAAGACCCTGATGTTGGGAGAAGGGGACGACAGAGGACGAGATGGTTGGACAATGTTCTCGAAGCTACCAGCATGAGTTTGACCAAACTGTGGGAAGACAGGAGTGCCCGGCGTGCTCTGGTCCATGGGGTCACAAAGAGTCGGACACGACTAAACGACTAAACAACAACAACAAAGGACGTCCCTGCAAACAACCCTAAAGCTGGGAGGAGGCGGGCAGGGGGTGCAGAAAGAGAGACGTCGTTCAGCCCCCTTCTTCCATCTTCCTGTCCTTGCTGACGCGCTTAAGGGTCCCCGACTGCGGTCACTCACCTACCTCCCGGCCTCCGTCCGGGAATACAGCCGCGGCCAGGCTGCAGGGCCCGGCGCCTCTTCGTCCTACTCCTCCTGCGCGTTCTTGGCGTCCCCGTTTGTCTCTACGCTACGGAGGAGGCGGCGGCAGCGTCGACGGGCGGCGCTCCGAGCCTCTCCGCCCACTCCTGGCAGCGGGAGGAGGAGGGAGAGGCTGGCTGGCAGAGCCGCCTGAGCCCGCCCCCGCCTACCGCGGCTTCAGAGCTAGTTCCGCCCGCGTGCCCTAGCCCACCCTGGCCAGGAGCCCTGGGGGCCGCACTGCAGGTCCCGGAGGGCCACAAGGAACAGGGCGCGGCCAGAGGAGGAGTAGGGCACCTGCGTCTTCCGCGGGGGGCTCTTTGCAATGCTAAAATCTGCAACAAAGAACTCTCACCTCCCCAGCTCAAACCGCAGTTTCCCCCGATCCGGTGGGGAAGAAGGCCTGACAGTTCAGCCGTTGCGATGCCCATTAAGTTTTGCACAGTTGAGCTGCCGGGAAGGTTCCACCCCTTATGTAAGATGCTGTAGCGCTGCTGAGTTCTCGTCCCTTTCACCAAATGAGGATGCTGTCAAGTAAAGAGCCCCTGGAAAAGATCCAGTTTTATTAACAGATCTTATGCACCGAATAAGGGCCAAACAAGGTCGGGACACCATGGATTCTTTTGTGAACATGCCGTTGAAGCATTTCTCCAATGCTTTTGTGCTGTGAAAAAGTAAAAAATAAAAGCCATAATGTCAATAAAAGAGAGAATGTAACAATTCAAGAAAACCCGGAGGATTTATAGTGTGTGTGTGTGTGTGTGTGTGTGTTTTCGTTTAGTTTTTTTTTTTAAATAAAGAGCTTGTTTCAGCTGAATCCATCCAGGGAGTTTCTTCCATAACAAGACCAATCACTCAGTATTGTCCACACAGCTCTTCTGAACTTCAGGCTGTGTGTGTGTGTGTGTGTGTGTGTGTGCCTTTTGCCAGCCCCACTGGATATGTTGCTGGGGACTGAACCTGGGACCTTCTGCATGCAAAGTGCAGAATCATAGAATTGTAGAACTATAAGGGACCCCAACTGTCACCTAGCCCAACCCCCTACAATACAGGAATCACAGCTAAGGAACCTCTCACAGGTGGCCACCCAACTTCTGCTTAAAAACTTCAAATGAAGGAGCATCCAACACCTCTTATCGTCGGAAAGTTAACAGAATCTCCTTTCTTGCAGTTTGTATCAATTGGTTCAGGTCCTTCTCTCCAGAGCAGCAGGAAATAAGCTTCCTCCATCTTCTATGTGATTGTGACAGCCCCTTAGCTATATGATGGCTCTTCTCCCAGTTTCCTCTTTTTAGGCTAGATGACATGAGGATGCTAAAAGTATCTTAACAACAACAGCAGCAGCAACAATTCCCTCTAGCAAGAATGCTTCAAATAACGAGAGATAGAAAAAGTACCAAGAAGACGGAACAATACCTGCTAGCCACCAACAAGGGGCAGCAGATCTGTTCTCTACACAAATCTACACAGATGCCCACCTTTGCCAGCTTGGTGCCTTCGGGAGGGACCAATAGGATTTGAAGTCCAAAACATCTGGAAACACCAGCTTGGCAAAGTCTGCTACAATTCATTAAAGACAAAGTGGCTTCTCCCAAATAATTCTGGAGTGTGGTTTATTGAGCGTGCTGAGAGTTGTTAGGAGACACTCCCCCCCATCTCCTCCCAGTTCTACAATTCCAAAGTAGTTGAACAATCAAATCGCTCTTCCCAGAGAACTCAGGGAATTGTAGCTCTGAGAGGGGAATAGAAGAAGAAGAGGAGGAGGAGGAGGAGGAGTTTAGACACAATATCCCGCCTTTCACTCCCCTTAAGGTGTCTCAAAGCGGCTAACAACCTCCTTTCCCTTCCTCCCCCACAACAAACACTCTGTGAGGTGAGTGGGGCTGAGAGACTTCAGAGAAGTGTGACTAGCCCAAGGTCACCCAGCAGCTGCATGTGGAGGAGCGGGGAAGCGAACCCGGTTCTCCAGATTACGAGTCCACCGTTCTTAACCACTACACCATGCTGGCTCCCATGGTGTCCTAGAGGGGTGTCCTAGCAACTCTTGGCACCATTAACCAATTATAGCTCCCAGAATTAGGGGGGGGGGAGAAGCTATTTAAAGCTGGTTTTGACCTATAAAGCATTAAACAGCTCAGGACTGCAATACCTCAAAGATTGCCTCTCCCCATATGAAATGACCTGGACCCTGAAACCATAATTTGAGGCCCTTCTTCGTATGCCTCCTCTGTGAGAGGTTCAGAAGGTGGCAACACAGGAAAGGGTCTTTTCTATGGTGGCTCTCAGGAAGGCTCACCTGGCACCTTCATTATACATTATTAGGCGCCAGGCAAAAGCTTTCCTCTATAACCAGGCCTTTGGCATTTAACTGTAACCTTTTTAAAGTATGCAGGATTTTAAAATGTATTTATTTTTCCATTTGGTTTTAATGTACCTCTGTGTGGTTTATTGCCATCTGTTTGTTTGGTTGTAAGTCACTTTGGGTTGGCCTGGCCAAGGTAACATGACTAACAAATTAAATAAAACAACAACAGCAACCGCAACAACAGCGTGGTATCCAATGCTATTTTTCTAGAAAAAGATGTGATGGAACTCACCATGAATGCCTCTCTTATTCTCTTATAATGGCAATGGCACCCACCTGAGAGGTGCGAGAACAGAGTTTTCCGCCAGAAAAAAAAAGTGCTGGTGGTATAAAAGTTTTGTGTAGGTTATGGGAGTTATTTATACCATAGAATGCATTATTATTTATGCTTTAAACATGCTGTACATTGCTTGGAGACATTTGGGTAACAAGCAGTTAAGAAGTCTAATAAATAATATATAATAATAGTCAGTGCTATTTTTCCTCCCTCTTTCTGTTAGCATGACAATGGCACTCACCTGAGAGGTGCTGGAACCCACCTGTAAAGTGCTGGGACTGAGTTCTGGCAAGTTCCCCTTGGGAAAAAAACGCCTTGGTAATAATAATAATCCAAATGCCACAGTTGTGTACCTTCAGGAGTTTGCTAATGGTGGGAGGTGTGAGAAGGAAAAGCAGGTGGAACTTATATTTGCACAGGAATCTACATTTCAACCATGCAAATTTCAGAACATTCTGAACACCTGCCCACTTCTCTCTGTCTTCCATCCATCCCACAGCTTCCATTATCAACAGCTACTAACTATCATAATTATGCTCTGCCTCCACAGCTCCTGAATCCCAGTTGCTGGTAACCACAGGAGGGGAAAGAGCTCTTGTGCTCCTGCTTTCAGGTTTCCCATAATGGGCATCAGGCTGGCCACTGTGAGAACAGGAGGCTGGACTAGATGGCCACTGGCTTGATTCAGCAGAACTATTCTTCATATCTTACATTCAAGCAAGCAAGCAGCAGAATCACATTTCCAGATGCAGGCAAGAATGGGGCCAGTAAAAGTTGTGGTCTGGGGAGATTATTTCCCCCCCTGTTTTATTAAATTTGCTTAGTAACATAACATTATTATATATATATTCTATATATATTAATGTTATGTAGTTAGGCATTGTAGTATGAATGAATTTTGTTCTGTATTCTTTGTTTTATAGAATGTCTGGGGCAGTGGCGTAGCGTGGGTTGTCAGCACCCGGGGCAAGGCAAGTAATTTGCGCCCCCTAACCCGTGGATTTGCACCCCCCACGCTATGCCACTGGTCTGGGGAGATTCTTGAGAGACAGAAAACGAGGCCTGGAGGGTTGCATCTGGCCCCTGAACCTGAGAATCTGAACACCTGGGGTAGGGATTCCCACAGCATTTTGTGAATTCACTCATGGGAATAGCTTGTTGGTCTCTCTTTAATGTGATGCTGGAAGATCCATCAGGGAAAGACTTGAGACAATCTTGAGAGGAAATCAATATGTTGAGGCTGCTGGTGCCAATGCAGCCTGAGTTTGGACGAGAGAGAGAGAGAGAGAGAGAGAGAGAGAGAGAGAGACTTTGCCAGAGTCTCATCCAGTTGCTTTAGAAAGCTTTTTATAAACAGTCATTATGTCTACAGCACAGCAGGGAGTTATTCACAGCTTGCTGCCTTACCTGTATGTGAACACAAATATGCCGAATCAATTGGCAGGGTCTGAAAAGCTGCAAACATCCCTTTTCAAGGCAGAACCAGGGAAATGCAGCTGTAGCAATAATTGTTCCTATAATAATAGAATTGTAGAGTTGGAGGTAACCCCAAGGGTCATCTAGTCCAACCCCCTGCAACGCAGGAATCTCAACTAAAGCATCCATGATAGGTGACCATCCAACCTCTGCTTAAAAACCCCCCAACTTGAATCCATTTGTTCATGTCATATCCTTCAGAGCAGCAGAAAACAAGCTTGCTCTGTCTTCCATGTGACAGCCTTTTATATATTTGAAGGCAGCTATCACATCTTCTCTCAGTCTCCTCTTTACCAGCCTAAGCATACCCAGTTCCCTCAACCAGAGTCATAAGGTTTGGTTTCCAGACCCTTCATCATTTTGGTTGCCTCTTCTGCACATGTTCCAGCTTGTCAATATCCTCCTTAAATCGTGGCACCCAGAACTGTATATAGTACTCCAGGTGTGGTCTGACCAAAGCAGAATAGAGAGGTATTTTTACTTCCCTTGATCAGCACACTATGCTTTTGTTGATGCAGCCTAAAATAGCATTTGTGAGGGTTTTTTTTTGCTGCTGCATCACATTGTTGACTCATGTTAAGCTTGTGGTCTACTAAGACCCCTAAGTCCTTTTCACAAGTACCAATCTTATATTGGTGCAGCTGGTTTTTCCTGCCTAATGGTAGAACCTTACATTTGTCACTGTAGAAATTCATTTTGTTAGTTTGGACCCAGTTCTCCAATCTGTTAAGGTCATATTGAATCCCAGTTGTGTCTTCAGCAGTATTGGTTACCCCTCCCTGTTTCATACAATCTGCAAATTGGATGAGCATCCCCTCAATTCCTTCATCCAAGTCATTTATAAAGATGTTGAACAACAATGGGTCCAGGACATAACTCTGGGCACAAATCCACCTAACTATCACCTTGTCCAGCCCACATTTTACCAGCTTCTCCACAAGAATATTATGGGGGCCTTTGTCAAAAGCCTTACTGGTATCAAGATACGCTATAGCCACAGCATCCCCCTGATCCACCAAGCTTGTAACTCTATAAAAAACACACAAATGAGATTCGTCTGGCATAACTAGTTTTTGATAAACTCATGCTGGGTCTTAATAATCACAGCATCCTTTTCTAAGTACTCCCAGACAGACTGTTGAATTTCCTGTTATAGGACCTTTCCTGGTAATGATGTCAAGCTCACCGGTTGGTAGTTACCTGGGACTTCTATTTTCTCCTTTTTGAAGATGAGGGCAACATCTGCCCACCTCCAGTCTGCAGGGATCCCACCTGTTCTCCATTAATGGTCAAATATTATAGACAGGGGTTCTGAGATTACATCTGCAAGCTTCTTTAGTAGCCCTGGTTGCAGCTCATCAGGCTCTGGAGATTTGAATTCATTTAAAGTAGCTAGATGCATCAGACCAGCAATGCGCAGACTTTTAATAACAACAATAATAAATCTGTTGCTTTTCAGCTCCAAAGGGGTCCTGGCACAGATTAGAGCTATAAATGATAAAACATAGTCACAATCTATAGAGATGGGATACAAAAGGGAAAACTGACTGGGAGGGTATAGGGCTGGAAACATTCTTAGTTACAAAGAGAGCTAAAGCAATCTCCCTTCCTGAATTAAAACTGGAGACATACTGTCAGAGCATGCCAAGTAAGAATTGCAGCTCACACACGATCAGGATTGCTGATCTAGGGGTGCCTCATGACTGGAAGAAAGTTGCCTAGAAGAGCGGACACTCATGCAGAGACTCAATGGGAAGTCTCTTCTGCAGGTACATAATTCTACACCTCTGGAAGGGGACTGAGTGAACCAGGCAGATGCCCACAATGCACAGGTGTAGTGGAGTGACCTGACTAGAAGGAGGCAAAGTGAGAGGAGTGGCAAGCAGCCTCACAGCACCCAGGAGCATTTCATGGGGAATTTATGCCACTGGAGAAACAATATTCAGGTTTGAGCACACTAATGGGATGCTCTTTGAGTAATTGTGATAACCTCTGTAACTCCTTGTCAGGTGATGGTGTGTGGAGGGAAAGATGGAGGTGAAGTTTAAGATGTAGCGATGGTCACCAATCCGGATGACTTTAAAGGGGGCTTAGATGAATTTGTGGAGGGTAAGGCTGCCAATGGCCACTAGCCACGATGGCTTTGTTTTGCTTTCACAGTTGGAGGCAGTATGCTTCTGAATATCGTTTCCGGGAATCACAAGCAGGGAGGGTGCAGCTGGAAAGGAGGAGCGATCAGGATGCAGTTCCTCCTCCCTCTGTGCTGGGGGAGAAACAAGCACAAGCGTGCAAGTGGATTCCTATGGGGCTGGAGCCAGGTTGGGCGCTTACCGTCGTGATCATACCCTGGAAGAAAATGAGCGAGTATTTAAGAAAGAAAGAAAAATGTTGTTATATCTTTCTCTTCCTTTCTTTTATTGGTACGGCTTGAGGTGCGTGTGAAGGCGTCATAGCCATACCTGCCAGATCGTACTGTACTGTATTCCGCTGGTGGAGACTGTTCGTTTTCCGAAAAGCTCCTAACTATAAAGTCAACCCACACAGGAATAAAGTTGTCCTTCTTGCTCTGCCTACGCTTCATTCTCAGTTTATTTGGCAGTGTGTCCAGTTAAGCTATTTCCCTAACCACATTTTGATATAACTTACCTGTTTTGAGAACAGTAAGAAACTCGACACATATTCAGTTTCAGTATTTAATCCAAAAGCATGCATTCTTACATTTTTATGGTTCTTACATTTGTAACTACTTAAAAAAAATTGTTGAAAGAAAGAGGAAGGAAATGAAAGCTGTGCTCTGGAAACGGGAGAGAGTAGCAAAAATCTGAAAGCGCTCAGGCGCGCGTCCCTAGACAGTCAACCCGGATCCTCAAAGCGCTAGCCGATCCGAGACACGTTAGCCAGGAAGGGGAAAAGTCCTCCTGGAAGTTTACAAAAAAGGGGTTCCTCTCCCCCACTGTACTCCCAGGGCGAGCCTGCAAAGCGTGCCTCTCTCCGCCGTCGGGGCCAAAATTGGAACGCGCCGCCAGGCAGGAGAGAGAACCGGACGCCGCCCCATCTATCTCATCCGGGAAAAGTTATTGCCTGCGGAGGAGAAGGAGAAAGCAACCCTGAGAGAGAGGCAGCGAAGGCAGGCAGGAAGGAGGAGTCGCGCTTGGCCCCGCCGTCTCCGCTGCGCCCTCCCCCGGCGGCAGGAGTAGGAGGAGCCGTGGCCGGAGCGAGCCGAGAGCCGGGCAGCGCCTCTCCACAAAAGAGGCAGGCGAGGCGAGTGCAAGAGGTGCGCTCCGCGAAGCACTCTTTGTTCCCTGGACGGCGAAGGAAGGAAGCGAAGCGGAGGAGCCTGGAGCTCCCCATTCCGGAGAAGAACACGCTGCCCGGTTCCAGGCTTGGAAGGCGGCCGGATCAGCTTCCTGCCCCAGAGGAGGAGGCAACCAGCCATCCCGGAGAGCCGCGAGGGCTCGGCCCTTATTCCCAAGGCGCCGGAGCGGAGCATGCGAGCCACGGGAGGCGCACCCTGGCTGGACTCCCGGCTCTGAAGCCCCTCCGGGGCGGCTCCCTGGAGCAGCGCTGCCCCATGGCCAAGGCGGCGTCCCGGCCAAGGCGCTGGTAGTAGCGGAGACGAAGCGCCTGTCCCGTCTTCTCCTTTCGCAGGCCTGCCGCTGCGGTTCTTTTTTGCGCTCTCTCTGCCCGGCGCCATGGAGGAGTGGCGGCAGTGCGGGCGCTGGCTGATCGACTGCAAGGTCCTGCCGGCCAACCACCGCGTGGTTTGGCCCTCGGCCGTGGTCTTTGAGCTGGCCCAAGCTCTCCGCGACGGCGTCCTCCTCTGCCAGCTGCTCCACAACCTTTCGCCCGGGTCTATCGACCTAAAAGACATCAATTTCCGGCCCCAGATGTCCCAGGTGAGCGAAAGACGAAAGCCCCTCGGGATTGGGGAGCCGGGAGGTTCGACCCTCGACGGGTGGGGAGAAGAAAGGTGGGAAATCCTCAACGTGGAGGGCAGTTGTCCGGAGACTCGTGTGGTGTGGCAATCACACCTCAGTGGGCTGTCTCGTAGCTGGGAATAAAAGGTTGTGCGTCTCAGTTATGCTCGTAGTAGATCCCTTGCAATGAATGAACATGACTAACTTGTGTCCATTGATGCCAAGGGGTTTGGTCTGAGAGGGAATTAATTGAAAGCAACCCAAATGCTCTCTCTCTCACACACACACCCTTTTTATGGGCGCATCCTATTTATGTGTCTTGACTGCTGCCAGCCTTAGTTCCCACCCTTGGGGACACTTCTTTTTGAAATGACTTCTTTTTGAAATGTCCCCTGGTTGAAGCCCCAGCAGGTATGGAGGAGAGCGGGGGGGGGGGGTGTGTGTGTGAGGCAGGAGTGCTGTTTGACTCAGCCAATGCTACACTGTGGACATTACCCCACAAGGACAGACAGTTGTGTGGGAGTGGGAAGGAAGCCATGGGGGAATGAAGTGGGGTGCAGCCTCCTGATGTCTGAGGAGTCTTTGGTGTAAACACCCTCTTTAAAATGTCTTATGTTCTTGGAGTAAGAAAGCAATAAATAAGGGAACTATGAAACGGGGGGCAAGGAACCCCAAAGTTATACAAAACTTTGGAAATGCAAAGTTAAGTAAATTTGATGGCCGGCTCAAATGAGTTCAATTAATTGGGCAGCCGTTTTGTTTGAAAACAACTATTATTTTTAAGCACTTGTGTTAAAGATACAAGGACGCTCTCTCTCTCTCTCTCCCCCTCCCTCCCTCCCTCCCTCCCTCCCTCTCTCTCACACACAAACACACACACACACACACACACACGAGAAAAGGGAAAGTGTGCAGTATTTATCTAAAATCAGCCTATACTCCTTTCTTGAGCAGGTTTTTATTATTATATATATATATATATATATATATATATATATGTAGGTTTTGGTGTACATTCCTGTACCCGTGAAAATCTACGAAAGCATATATATATATATATATATATATATATATATATGCATGCATGCAAACGTTCACCAGTCTAATCAATCTGTTACTTGACTATTGCTCTCCTGCAATACCTGAAAGGCTGCCCCATAGAGCAGGGGAAAGTACTTGCTCTCTGCTGCCCCAAGGTGCCATGGAACATAAGTTACAGGAGGGCAGATTTTGGTTGATCATTAGGACTGGCTTTTGAATGATGAGAGAATTTTGATGGAGGGTCTCATTTTGCCTTACCATAAGTCTGCGGACAAACGGCTCCTTTGGCCAGTAAAGCGAGATGAGCGCTGCAACCCCACAGTCATTCGCGACTGGACTTAACTGTCAGGAGTCCTTTACCTTTAAAAAGTCTTCAAGCACAAGCCAGAAAGCATCTGTTGGGGATGCCATACCTGTCTCAAGCACTGGATGCCCTTACAAGAATCCCTACAAAACTCTGAAATTCTGTTTAGTAAGAGTTGTTCAGTTCAGTGACTGGCCTATGTACATGGGACAGATCTTTTATTTAGCTTGGATGCTCTGTGTTTGTTTTTTAAACTTAAAAACAACCTGGTGCTGGTTGTACTGATCTGTGTGCTAACCTACAGTTTATTTCCACATAAAAATATTGATTAACACACTGTGATAGAATTTTTATGGAAATCAGCACTCTGTTTTACTAGCCCTTACCATAAGATCTGTAGCATAACTAATATAACTTGCAGATTTTTTAATGGGGGGTGGGTGGGGTGTTAAGAGATAAGACTGAGAGTGGTGTTTGAGAGATGAGTTTGTGGAGCTTGTGAGATTTGAACCCAGAGCATCATGTTTCCCAGCTCAGTTTCTGACATGCTGTGCCAGATCAGGAGTGGGCAGTTATCAAACTTAGTACTACAACCTCAAGATCTTCTAACCACAGACAGATGCAAAAGACATACAGTCAGAGAACAAGGTGTCTCGGCACATTCTGGGCCCCTCCAACTTATTCTGAGCATTCTTATTATTAATTGCATTTCTATCCCACCTTTTTCTCCTAGCAATGCAAGGTAGTGTGCATGGCTCATTTAATCCCCACAACAACCCTGTGAGGAAGGTTAGGCTGGAGGGCCATAGGTTCCGCAATAGGGCAATAGAGCAATAGAGCGCTTTGAGGAGCTTTAAATGTGAAAATCTAGAGTTCCTGATGGATTTTTGTGAGGAGGAACCAGACATAAGACTAGAAAGGTAGGAAACTGAAATTGACCCAGCTAGAAATTTACGATCCAAAAATTAACAGCTGAGTTGGAAAGAGTTTTCTTGACACCGTTGAGGCATTTTTGTGTGTGCAAACAGACCCTCCTGTTTTTAAGAAATATATTAAAACTAGGACAGCATTATCTCATTGCATTCACGTCTCTGCCACTAACAGAAAGTGTCTTGTCTCTTTTGGGATGCTGATCTTGTATTTTTTTTCCTGGAGGGGTTGGGACTCCGCGTTGCCTGGATACTGCTTTGTGCGCAGACAAATTCCCACTGAAGAATTCGAGCTGCAGAGCTCCAAAGCACAGCTGCCCGTTGCGTTCACCCTCTTCCCTCCTTGCAGCCCCAAACCACTGCAGAAGGTTGCATCCATGACTTAAAATCCACAGAACGGGGTTTATGATTAGCTTCTTTGTTTGTTTCAGATGCTTGGCATAGTTTCAGAATCTCCTTGCATTCTTGCGATTAAGCCAGTCACCTCTGGTGAGTTGGAGCCCACAGGTGATTAGGCAAGGGATCTACAGTGGTACCTCGGGTTACATACGCTTCAGCTTACATACATTTCAGGTTACAGACTCCGCTAACCCAGAAACAGTACCTCGGGTTAAGAACTTTGCTTCAGGATGAGAACAGAAATCGTGCAGCAACGGCGCGGCAGCAGCAGGAGGCCCCATTAGCTAAAGTGGTGTCTCAGGTTAAGAACAGTTTCAGGCTAAGAACGGACCTCCAGAACGAATTAAGTACTTAACCCGAAGTACCACTGTATTGCAAAGTGGCCAAAGAGAACTATGTTACTTCCTTTTATTGTTACTTTTATCTCCAGCTTCGAAAGCAGCCAAGAGCCTTCCCCTGAGTACCAGTTCCTAGCGAATCAAAGAACCAGGAAGTGGACTGCAGCCGTCATTGTTTAGCTGTTTAGATTATTTAGCTGTGATTCCTGCATTGCAGGGGGCTGGACTAGACGACCCTTAGGGACCCTTCCAACTCCACAGTTCTATGATTCAATCAATGATAGTTTACAAACGGGGCAGTGCCTTGGATAAAATCCATTAAGCAAATAAACACTGGACCTTTGCTCAGCTGGAGGGAAGCTCTTCTGTCCTCCTGATTGGTGCTGCAAACTTAAAATTAATCAAAGCAGGGGGTGGGAGCTTTTTTGAGCCAAGGTCCTCATTTCCCTCGTGGACAACATTTCAGGGACTGCTTGCCAGTGATGGGCAGGACCAGAGGCAGAAGTGGGGAGAGCAGTTTATTTATTTATTTTAAAAAAGGTGTCTGACTGCTTCCTCTCTTGTGCATTGCAAGGATTGCACCTTCTGTCAGAGAATCATCTGTGAGGGATTCTTTAGCCATGATTCCTGCACTGCTAGTGTTGGACTGGACCCCTTTGGGTCCCTTCCAACTATTCAGTTCTATGTTTTTCTGTCTCTGAGGTCTAAATCAGGGGTCAGCAAACTTTTTCAGCAGGGGGCTGGTCCACTGTCCCTCAGACCTTGTGGGGGGCTGGACGATATTGGGGGGGGGGAATAATGAACGAATTCCTATGCCCCACAAATAACCCAGAGATGCATTTTAAATAAAAGCACACATTCTACTCATGTAAAAACACCAAGCAGGCCCCATAAATAACCCAGAGATGCGTTTTAAATAAAAGCGCCCGTTCTACTCATGTAAAAACACGCTGATTCCCGGCCCGTCCACGGGCCAGATTTAGAAGGCGATTGGGCCAGATCCGGCCCCCGGGCCTTAGTTTGCCTACTCATGGTCTAAAATTGTGCCCAGCCCTGGAAGATATTAAGCTGAATGCTGGATGATTCAGAATAGATAAAGGAAAGCACTTCGAAACTATGGAACTCAGGAGGCAGTGATGACCACCAACTTTGGATGGCTTTAAAAGAGGATTGGACAAAGTCAAGGAGGAGGAGAGGGCTGGCAGGGAAGACCTCTTTGTGCCAACAGGCTTTTGGGAACTGACTGCTTTTAATGAAAGAGCTGGTGCTGTGCTGTTTTTACTGTAATATGTGTGTATAGTTTTACTTTTCACAACGTTTAATTTATATATATTTCTATGTCTTGAATAGTTCTCATTTTTATATGCAAGCAGCCTTGAGTCCCAGCAGGAAAAAAGGGAGGGAATGAATGAATGAATGAATGAATAGAATATGCCAGTCAATGGCTACTAGCCACGATGGCTATGCTCAGTGTCCACAACTGAAGGTACTCAACAATTCTGAATACTGCATGTTGGAAATGGGAGAAAGGGAGAGAGCGGTTGTTTGGGGGTCCTGCTTGTGCATTTCCTATTGGGACACCTTGTTGGTCACAGGATGCTGGACCAGATGGGTCTCCTTTGGTCTGATCCAGCAGCAGGGCTCTTATGTTCTCCTTCCACTGTGAGAGGCAGTCAATGACTCTGAACGCCATTTGCTGGGAATCACAAGTGGGGAGAGTTGCTGCTGTTCTTCTTCTCAGGTCTTGCCTGTGGGCTTCTCATTGGGGCATCTGATTGGCCACTCTAAGAAGAGGATGTAGGACTCTGATAGACCTTCCAGCTCTTGTTAGGTCTTCTGATTCTGTCACAGACTGCATATATTTCATTCCGATGAACGATGTCTTTCCTTAGGACTTCTTGTGGTCATTTCTGGTGACAGCCAGAATATATATGTATATATATGCCTGGAAGCATTAGTAGGCACATC